TATCTTTTATGAGGGAATAAGGGGGAAATACCAGAACAGTTATTATAGAGGCTTTAGCGGGCCTGAGCAAAACGCATCCGCTGCAAAATCTAAAAGAGGGGAATGTTACTCTGCTGAAATTGTGGAACTTGTTAACACAAGTTGGATAAGGATCTAATCAGACAATATATCCTCTCCTGCATCCCTGAACATTCCCACAAAGGGTTAGTGGCCCCAGCATTACATGTTTTTGTGTATTTTTGAAGGATTGCGTTGGATTGTGATTTTGAGTTGAGTAATATTTTTCTGAGAGAACTTCCTGGTAAGCACATGGTCTTTTGTTCTATTGTGCAGTGGGGATTAAGCAACCCCTCCCTCAGAGTTCACAGTGACCCAAGGCAGTGAAGATTTGTTTTGTATTTTGAGATTTTTGAGATTTTGATTTTAAAATTTTGACATATTTTTGAATATTTTTCACATTTTTGAATTCTAAGATGGCTAGAGCAGCTTTTGATAGTGATGCAAAACTAGGAATGCCTGTGCTAAATGAATACAATTTTGTGCACTGGAAGAAGCGCTTAATAGCATTTCTAGATTAAAAATACGTTTTGGATGCTGTAGAGAACCCTCAGCCTACAGGAGCAACTGAGGAAGATTTAGCCAAGATAAGAGCTTGGAAAGACAAGAACAGCGAAGCCAGACACATAATTTCGAGTGCACTTTGTGATGAGCATCTATTAATAAATAGTCAAGATGATGCATCTCAAATCTTAAGTAATATTGAGCGCATGTATCAAGAATCTACCAAGAACTCCTACAGAACCTTGATGTGTAAATTAACCAGACTGAGGATGAATTCAAAAGAAGAACTCACAGAGCACATCAACAAGTTTACTGAGATTATTCAAAGGATTGATCTTATTCCTAAGCCTTTTGATGGAGATACAAAGACATCATTTTTGCTATCATCCCTAGGACCAAACTTCGATTCATTTGTTAGCATAATGGACCACAGAGAAGGTCTAACTTTTAAAGACCTGACCAGTCATTTAAGGGAGGAATGCAGAGAGAGAGCTGAGTCTCCAGTAAGAAATGCTAGAAGCAAGGACAGTAATTATGCATCTAGGCAATTTACAAAGTCCAGAGAAATGCCCAAGAAAGTGGTTTGCTTCAATTGCAACAAGGAAGGGCACATTGCAAAGAACTGCAAAGCTCCTAGGACAAGGAAACCCCACCCCTTTCAGCCAAAAGGGGAAAAGAAGGGGGAATCTGAATGCACTTTGCTACTACAAGAAAGGAATTTAGCTGTCCAGAATCGTGAAAATTGTTGGGTAATTGCTGTAATAAGTGGATTATTGATTCTGGGGCGAGCTCACATTTCTCATTTGAAAAGGACTATTTTAATGACAAACCTAGACAGCATCTTAAAAAGCAGAGACAGCACCTTGCCAACAAAGGTCTGTATAGTTAAAGCTATGGTTTTCCCAGTAGTGATGTATGGAAGTGAGAGCTGGACCATAAAGAAGGCTGATCGCCGAAGAATTGATGCTTTTGAATTATGGTGCTGGAGGAGACTCTGGAGAGTCCCATGGACTGCAAGAAGATCAAACTGATCCATTCTGAAGGAAATCAGCTCTGAGTGCTCACTGGAAGGACAGATCCTGAAGCTGAGGCTCCAAGACTTTGGCCACCTCATGAGAAGAGAAGACTCCCTGGAAAAGACCCTGATGTTGGGAAAGATGGAGGGCATAAGGAGAAGGGGACGACAGAGGACAAGATGGTTGGACAGTGTTCTCGAAGCTACCAACATGAGTTTGACCAAACTGCGGGAGGCAGTGGAAGGCAGGAGTGCCTGGCGTGCTCTGGTCCAGGGGGTCACGAAGAGTCAGACACGACTAAACGACTAAACAACAACAAAAAATTTAATGAGATAAATGATGAAGTATCTGAAATTGAGATTGCAGATGGCAACATTGTTAAAGCAAAAGGTGCAGATTCCATGGACTTGAAATTCAATATAAACAATGAATCTATTGAATCCACAGTTTCTAGAGCTTTGTATGTACCACAACTGAGCTGCAATTTACTCAGCGTGTCCACTTTGGACAGAAAAGGTTTCCAGATTACGTTTGGAAATGGAGAGTGTAATGTGACTAAAAACAGTAAAGTGTTTGTACAAGCCAAGCTAGTAAATGGTGTATATGAGATTGATCTTTCAGAGAACCAGTCTGCAAAAGTAGCACATTCCAGCCAGAAGGATGAGGCAGACCTGGACCTATGGCACAGAAGGCTTGGACACAGAGACACCAGCATTATTCTGGATCTACAGAGAAGAGATCTTGTAAGAGGTTTGCAGGTAACAAAGAGCAACAGAGCTCCAGTATAAGCTGTGTTACTGAAAAGGCTGTAAAACCTTCATTTCCACGTTGTACAGAACACAGAAGCACCAAAGTGCTTGACATTGTGCACACTGACTTATGTGATGATGACTTTGTTGATGATTTTTCAAAGTAAAGAGCTGAAAAAAGGACAAGATGCAATAAATGGTGATATTGCAGCTCTAAAAAAGAATACAGGAAGAAATGCTTGATCAGATAGTAATCTCAGAAATGCATGAAAGAGAATGAATTCTCTGCTTCCATGGGATCCCCGAAACACCAAATGAGGACATCGAAGCAAAACTGAGAAAAGAGTTGGCGACCTGGCTGGGAGTACAAGAGGATCAGTTAACAATGGACATTGACAAGATCTTCAAGATCAAACCAGATCATGGAAAAACCTTTAAGGGACCTGGTAATTGCATGGTTTTCCTTAATTCAAGATTACTGAAAGACAAGATATTGCAAAAAAGAAAGTTGATAATCAACGGGAGAAATATTCTAATTTACAAAGAAATCCCAAAACGTCTGTTGAAAAAGAGACAAACGTACCAGACTCTGAGAGAGGCATTGAAGACAAATGAAATTAGATACAAGTGGGAATTTCCTGAAGGTATTTCCTTCATTTACAAAGACAGAAGAAAGACCATTAGATCCCCAGAAAAATTAGGAAATTATTGGCGGAAATATAAAAGAGACCTGGGAGGGGGTACAGCTCAAGAAAGAGAAGAAAGAGATGAAGGACAGGAAAGTCCAGGAGGAGAATAAAAGAAACAGAAGCTCTCATAACTATTTTACTGTACTTAAATGCAATTCCATATTTTATGTTGGTATTTGATTTTGTGTTTAATAAATATTAATGAACTTGAACATTATATCGTGGAACATCAATGGTTTGAACAATAAGGTGAAAAGGCACAAAACCTAGCATATTGTAAGAAAGAAATATTGGGACGCCATTTGTCTCCAGGAAACACATATAGCAAAGAAACATGACAAAGTTTTGATAAATAATAAATTAGGAACAGAATATATAGCATCAGATGCTTCCAAAAAGAAAGGAATAGTTATATACATAAATCAAAAGATAGATGCAAAAATCCTATTTAAAGATAATGAAGGAAGAATGTTAGGAATACAATTGACAAAAGGTAGAGGATAAAATAATCTTGGTTGGGGGTATACGCACCAAATGGAAATAAAACAAACTTCTTCAAAAAAAACTTGAAGATTAGCTATTAGAATACAGTAATGACAGTATAATCATTATGGGATACTTCAACGGAGTAATAACTCTGGATCTAGATAGAACGGAGAGAGAGACAACATCAAGAAAAGGGAAGCTCCCAAGAGAGAAAGGAGAGAGAAACATATAAAGGACAGACAATATACCTTCTATTCATATGCTTAAAAATCAGCCAGTCGTATGGATGCAATCTGGACTTCAAACAATCTAATACCTTTTATAAGTAAAATTGAGATCCTCCCAAAAACGATATCAGACCATAATCCAGTAATGATGGAACTAAGATATAATAAAATTAAAAACAGAAGTTGGAGGTTGAATTTTATGCCATTTGTTCTTTGTGTCCCTTTTCTTTGAGTGGTTTAAAATATCTGATGCAATTGCAGCAAGGTTTCTCTTTCAACTTTTTTTGCAAACCCTTGGCGTCTATACCCAGTTAGGGGGTGTCACATTTAAATCTCCCGCTCTGTGATCTAAGAAAACCATCCATCTACGCATGTCTCTTCCTGGAAAGCAAGGTTCCCATACAGCACAAATGTAAGAAGGACTGCTGCCCCCCCCCCCAGTGCTAGTCCTACTCAGAGGAAAGCTACTGAAATTAATCGGCCTAAGTCACGTTGGCACTGGGCAACAGAATCATAGAGTGGTAGAATTGGAAGGGATTCCCAGGGGTCATCTAGTCCAACCCCCTGCAATGCAGGGATCTCAGCTAAAGCATCAGTGACAGATGGCAACCAAGTTTTCTGGAAATTTATTCTTAATCTGGAAATTTAGCCTTGATTAGTCCCCCTTCTGTGGCCAGCTGTGGTTTGCCAATAGAGCCGAATGCAGACTTGTTTTAGCGGCTGGATGAGGCCCATCTGGTCCTGCATCCTGTTCTTACAGCGCATACCCCTCAACCTCATTCCAGCTTCTGATTGGATTCCAGGGTGTCCCATTTTAACTCTCGCTTGAGTCACATGACGGAAATAGCACAGATATGTCTTCAAAAAGTTGTATAGTTACTTATCTCCTTGCCCCAGGGGGGTCACATAACTCCTTACCTTCCAACATTTCTCTGATGAAAATAGGGACATCCTAAGAAAAAGCGGGACATTCCAGGATCAAATCAGAACCTGGGTCAGATCCCGTAAATCCAGGACTATCCCTGGAAAATATGGTCCCTGGGAGGGTCCGCTGTTGTATACAGTTTGAGTGTGCACAGGTAATGCAGGGAGAAAGGGGCACATGGATCAGAAAGGAGCCCTTTGCACACACAACTTGACTCCAGAACATAGGCTTTTGAGCATGGTGCCGAAGAGAAGAGAAGAGAAGAGAAGAGAAGAGAACTTGTGATGATGTCAGACTGTCCACCTGCTGATCTGACAGATCTTCCATTTTGTGATGTCATGGATTCCAGGAAAACATGGAGGAAGCAACAACACCTGGAGCCGGCAGAAGGATGGAGTGGTGGCTCCTCCCTGTTCTGGCCCTCGCTGCTTTCCGCCCAACCCATGCCAAGGAAAGCAACTGCGAGTAAGTGGAGAGAGAGGCCAGACATGGGGAGGAGGCAGGAGAGGGAATCCCACCCACGAACTCCTGGATGTGGTCTTGAAGAGAAGGAAGGCACAACTGACCCCATGGCTGCTCGCACTCCCCTTCATTGTGGTGGGTCAAAACTAGCATGTAAAGACAGAGTCTGTTCTCAGAGGGCACGTTCCTCCCTCTCTCAGAATACTAGAATCCATCTGGGTCACACAAGGAAGCGGAATGGGGGACCAGCCAGGGGGACAGACAAAAGGAAATATTTCTTTTCTTGAAAGAGGAGAGAGGGAGGGAGGGAGAGAGAGGTAGAAAATAGCTTACTAATTTGGATTTGCTGAACAGTCCATTTTTGCCTTTGGCCCCACCCACCACTGAGATGTGGCCCTCAGAAGACAATGTGGCCCCTGGCCTGGAAAAAGTTCCATCCTCCCTGGGAGTGATGGGCATTTGGGAGGCATCCAGAAGTGCAGCTGGACACCTCCAGTTTCATCTTTTTCTTCCCAAGATGGCCGAGAGGAGGGGCAAAGTGGGGGGAGGTGGTATATATGCAATGGCTCTGATCTTCTGTAGATGGCAATCTGTTTCTTGCTTTCCAGCGGAGTCTGCGGAAGGCGTCCCATGGCAGGCAGCCATAACCTCCTCCGGGTTGTGGGCAGCAGCAACGCTTCCCCCGGAACGTGGCCCTGGATGGTCAGCTTCCAAATAAAAACTTTTAGGGGATACTTCAGTTTCTGTGGAGGCTCCCTGATCAGCCCTCGATGGGTCCTCAGCGCAGCCCACTGTTTTCAGAAAGCAAAGTAAGCAAAGGGTTCTCAAGGAGGGTTGTCACGGGGTCTGCAAACCTGGCACCCAGGTCGGGGGCATCTCATGGGAGCAGAGTCCCACCTTCTGCTTTCAGAGGGGTGGCTGCTGTCAGCATCGCAGGGCGTCAAAACTCAGAGCCAGCCTCCAGCGGTATCCAAAAAGGGCCAGATTTGATGAAGTGAAGGGCCTAGAGGGCCGACCTTTTTTTAGGATTGAAGTTTTTTAGGATTCGGAAGCCCAGGAACAGCCTTCATCAATTGCGGTTCTGATCTTGGTCGACTGTGGGCTGAGAAAGAAAATCTTTTCTCTGCCGCCAGTCTCATGCAAGCCTGAGATTCTCCTCCTCCTCCTCCTCCAGCCGAGCCTTCTTCCTCCAAAGCCAGCTTGCTTTCCTTCCCCACCACCCGCTCTGTGCTTTGGGGGAGGGAGAGAGAGAAGCCCTGTGATAGTCTCCTCAGAGAGAAAGGGCTTGAATCCTTGTGCACTCCATCTGTCTCCTCAGATCTCTGAAAACTAATATAAAAATATAGTTAGACTTTTCCCACTTGTTTAGTTACTTCTCCATCCAGTATAGTGGTACCTTGGGTTACAGACACTTCAGATTACAGACGCTTCAGGTTACAGTCTCCACTAACCCAGAAATAGTACCTTGGGTTAAGAACTTTGCTTCAGGATGAGAACAGAAATCATGCGGCAGTGGGAGACTCCATTAGGTAAAGTGGTACCTCAGGTTAAGACTAGTTTCAGGTTAAGAACGGACCTCCAGAATGAATTAAGTTCTTAACCCAAGGTACCACTGTAACTATTTGGGTCTGTCATGATAATATCAAAACATAACTACTATATTTGTGAAATAGAGATCCATTTGTTTGTTTCTTTGTTTGTTTGCTTGCTTGTTTCATAAACTTAAATGACTTCGGAGGGTGGTTGATCACTGCCAGTTTTTGATACTGGATAGCAGATCAAAACCTACTTAAAGTTGGACATGCCTGGTCCAGCGGTGCTCCTGAAAACTTGAAAAAAAGACACTGGGACTAAGCCGGCCCCCTTCTGTTTCATTCATGTTTCCGGGACTCATCCTATAGGTTCTTTCGACTATGTAGTGTTAATGAAGTTTTCAGTTCGCACGCAGGCCCACAGATCTGCAAACCGGACAAGCCTTTCTGGAGTTCTTTTGTGAAATTTTGCTCCAGAATTTGCCGCTCCAGAGTTTAACGAAAACAGCAGAGGTAGATGAAAAGTCAAATTTATTACACTAAAAAAAAGGAGAGCAATGAGTAATGAATAGAAATGTGTTTAAGAATGCATGCATTGGGGTAAAGCGCCCTTTAAAATGCAATATTTATGCAATATTTCATGAAAACAATGTACACAAACAATTGGTTTGGGGGCAAATTGCTCTGCAAAAATGTGTATATTAAGAGCAATTTACACTAAAATGATGGTGAATTTTTACGAGGACTTTAAAAAAAAGTAACGCGGAGAAGATTAGAAACATGATAGGAACCAAAACCAACACCCCAAATGTAATTTCCAAAGATTTCCCTCCACCCCTTTAGCAAAGTCATGCAAAGTCCCTCCACCCCTTCAGCAAAGCAACTCTTCATCGCTCCACTAATAACGTCGCCCCAGTTTGATGAGGGACCACCAATGAGCAAGTTGTTTCCATCTGGTTTTCCAAATCCACCTGGAACACAGTCCCCACTCTGTGTGTATTCTTTGTTGCAGAGAAATACCAAATATCAGCCTGTCGATTGGCGCCAACCGCATCTCCAACCCTGGCCCCGATGCCCAGAGGCGCTGGATCAAGAGGCTGGTGAACCACGAACTCTTCGAGCACTTCTTGAACGATACCTACAGGAAAGTGCACAACGACATTTCCTTGGTGGAGCTGAACGAGCCAGTCAACTGCACGGACTATATTCAACCAGCCTGCTTGCCGGATGACAGCGTGGTGGTTTCCTTGCTCAAGCACTGCTATGTCAGCGGTTTTGGAATTATAGACCCGAAAAGTGAGATCTGCAGGGAAACCAGGCCCCCAGAAGGAGCAGCCTGGCTGTGTGCCTAAAGTAAATTTGCAGACTACACCTTCCCTGCCGATCAATTTCACCAAAGAAACATAATAGCAATGGTAGTCATGGTGGAAATTTCAATTCCTGCATTAGAATCATAGAATCATAGAGTTGGAAGAGACCACAAGGGCCATCGAGTCCAACCCCCTGCCAAGCAGGAAACACCATCAGAGCGGGGTTGTAGGGGGTTGTGCTGGATGCCCCTTGGGGGTCCCTTCCCACTCTAGGATTCTAAGTTGGTAGTTACACTTGGGTTGTGTACATCAGAAGCCCTGAGTCTTAGGGGTGAGGCAGGTGTGTGTGTGTTTCACAGGGCAGAAAGGGATAGAGATGGTTGGTTTTGAGAGCCATTCCACTTCACAGCTTCAGGGCAGATCACCTTCTCTAGACATAGATGCTTGCCCCCAGAACTCAGCTCAGTAATGATGGCTTTGCACGCAGAAGATTGAGTTTCAATTTCTGGGTAGGGCTGGTGGAAACTCCTGTCTACCTCTGCTGTCGCTCAGTGTATGCAGTACTAGGACAGATTGAGAGATAGGGAGGGAGGGATGTGGTTTCAGGAGGAAACGGAGAGTTTGGGGGTCTCTAAGGGCCCCCAGGCGACACAGGTGGCGCTGTGGGTTAAACCACAGAGCCTAGGGCTTGCCGATCAGAAGGTCGGCGGTTCGAATCCCTGCAATGGGGTGAGCTCCTGTTGCTCGGCCCCTTCTCCTGCCAAGCTAGCAGTTCGAAAGCACGTCAAAGTGCAAGTAGATAAATAGGTACCTTTACCTTTAAGGGCCCCCAGAAACCAGGTATTCACCCTACTCTGCAGCCTGGCGTACCCTTGTCTCTGATCTCACCCCCAGTCCATCAACTAAGTTTTAGGGGAGTGATTCTGCTGCACCTGCCTTCATGCCTCTCTCCTTTAGTCCTGGGGGTGCAGGTGGGGTGGGGAGTGAAATCTGAACTGAGCCTCCCCCTCCCCCCACTTTCCCTTTCTTCTATCAGCGAGAAAATTTCCCGACATCCTGCAGGAGGGTACTGTTGACCTCATCCCCATGGTGACATGCAGCAGCCCGGACTGGTGGTCCAATAGGATCCTCGAGGAGAATATCTGCGCTGGAACCTTGGAAGGAGGCGTAGCTTCTTGCAAGGTGGTGAAGCTACAACAAAACCAGGGCTATGGGTTTGGCTTGGGGGCAAAACTCTCTGGTGCTCCTGGAGCAGCAGAGCCCTTGCTCTGAACATGCAAAACTTCTCTGTGATTCTTCCTCCAGCATCTCAGGCAGCAGCCATGAGAGAAGGAGAAGGCCCCTCAGAGACCAAATCCTCACAGGAGCCTTTCTTTCCCACTTGCAGGGCGACAGAGGCGGCCCCCTCATGTGCCGGGAGCAGAGGTCCGAACGCTACTGGGTGGTTGGAATCGCCAGCTGGGGACCGTCTGTCTGCGGCCAGGGAAAAAGGCCGGGGGTCTACACCTCCACCCAGTTCTACCGCAACTGGATCAGGAAGACGACCAATGAGGACCTTTCACTACCCAACCACCCACCGCCAATGGCACAGCCCCAGCTTATGCGACTGCCACGCCCCCCTCCAAGGCCACAGCTCCAAATGCGACAAAATGGGAATGTGCCATATCCCAGGCCTTGGCCACCCCCCAACACCACCCCCCAGACCCCTCCTGTGGTCTGGCCCACCACCAGACCTTGGCCACCCCCCAAGGCCACTCCCCAGACACCTCCTGTGGTCTGGCCCACCACCAGACCTTGGCCACCCCCCAACGCCACCCCCCAGGCCCCTCCTGTGTTCTGGCCCACCAGCAGGCCATGGCCACCCCCCAACACCACCCCCCAGACCCCTCCTGTAGTCTGGCCCACCACCAGACCATGGCCACCCCCCAACACCACCCCCCAGACCCCTCCTGTGGTCTGGCCCACCACCAGACCATGGCCACCCCCCAACACCACCCCCCAGACCCCTCCTGTGGTCTGGCCCACCACCAGACCATGGCCACCCCCCAACACTACCCCCCAGACTCCTCCTGTGGTCTGGCCCACCACCAGACCATGGCCACCCCCCAACACCACCCCCCAGACCCCTCCTGTGGTCTGGCCCACCACCAGACCATGGCCACCCCCCAACACCACCCCCCAGACTCCTCCAGCATCCTGGTACACGACCAGACCTTTGCCACCCCCCGAGACCACCCCTCAGACGCCTCCTGTGGTCTACCCCACAACCAGACCTTGGCCACCCCCCAGCACCACCCCCCAGACCCTTCCCATATCCTGGTCCACCCCCAGAACCAACTCCCATCCCACACAGTGGCCCAAAGGAGGGGGTCCCAGTCCCGTTATATCAGACATGGCTCCTGGAACAAGGCCCACGGGACTGGGCAACTCGACTCCCTCCCGGGGCCCAATCTGGGGCCTAACGTCCATGCGGCTGGGAAGATTGCATCTGAGGACAAGGGCCCCAGCTTGGCATGGGCAGATTTACAGGCCGTGGGTCTCGATTCGCAGGCCGTGGATCACGATTCGCACAGCCCCACCACAGATTGAGTCCAGGTCGCTGAAGCCACTGCAAAGGCAAGTTCCGGCGCCACCCGGGAGCTACATGGAAGGGGTCCCTAGCTCAGCCGAGGGCTGATAAGGACTGCCAGGCTTGGGTGGCAATGCCAGGGGTGGGCATGGTGGGTGAGCTGCCCCTGCCAGATCTCAGAGCCCATGACCTGTCCTTTGCTGGTAACAAACTAAATGCATCTTCTCCCCATTTGATTTTCTTCTTCTTTTAACTTCACCCATAATGGATCACGTGTGCAAAATTCATCTCATTGCTTCACCACCATTTCCTCGGAGTTTCTCAACCTGAATATGAATTTGCATCCTAATGGGGACTTAATGCTGCAAACAGCTTGTTGGTGACACTTTTTAACAAAATAAAAAAATCAAAGTTCTCAAAATGAATAAAACCACAAATGAATGGATAAACGGGAGTGTTGGTGTGCTGCTTTTCGCAACCCAAAGCAACAGCTCTCCTGAAACATGCTTGGGAGGCTGTAAGGTGAATTATTTGTGTCACCTGCTGTGATCTGCTTCTGTTATTTCAACTGCAGATCCAGGCTGTTCCCTGGAAGCTGCAAGGCTCTATTGCAAACTTTCTTCAAAGAGGGCCACATTTGATGCAGTGAACATGTGTGAGGGCTGACCAAAGTTGCTGAGCCTTTTTTAGGATTGAAGTTGTTGTGCTTTTGGTGGCTTTTACCCCAGGAAATAAACTGCAACAGGGCCCAGATTAAACCGACCAGCTGACCAGATTAGTCCGGACTTTGCACGTGCCTGCTCTATTGGCTAAGCCAGGCCTCCTGTGACCTGCTTCTGCTATTTAAGCTGCAGATCCAGGCTGTTCCCAGGGTGCTGCAATGCTCTATTGGCTAAGGCAGGCCTACCTGCACCAGGTGAAAGGGGTTCCTGAAGTCATGGTGCTCCCTGTAAGTAAAGGTAAAGGTACCCCTGCCCATACGGGCCAGTCGTGTCCGACTCTGGGGTTGTGCGCTCATCTCACTCTATAGGCCGGGAGCCAGCGCTGTCCGCAGACACTTCTGGGTCACGTGGCCAGCGTGATGAAGCTGCTCTGGCGAGCCGGCACCAGCGCAGCACACGGAACGCCGTTTACCTTCCCACTGGTAAGCGGTCCCTATTTATCTACTTGCACCCGGAGGTGCTTTCGAACTGCTAGGTTGGCAGGCGCTGGGACCGAACGACGGGAGCTCACCCCGCCACGGGGATTCGAACCGCCGACCATGCGATCGGCAAGTCCTAGTCGCTGAGGTTTTACCCACAGTGCCACCCGCGTCCCTGTACCCTGTAGATGCAGCCAAACCTTGTTTTCCAGCCGCAGGTGCATGCTTGAAAGCTCCAGGTCCAAACAGTTTTCTTTCTGCCCCAGCTCTTTCCCGGGCAAAATCTGCATTTGACCACTGAATTGGAGGCAACTGTTCCCACCAATTCAGCGGTAAAATGAGGGTTTTCCCGGAAGAAAGAGCCAGGACAAAAAAACCCAAATACCCTGCTTGGACACGGAGCTTTAAAGCCCCAACTAAAACACAGCAGCAAAGGAAGTCCCTTGAGCCAGTCACTACACCTCAGCTTAAGTCTATTTCATAAGGCTGTTGTGTGGGTTAAGGGTGGAAAGGGAGAACCATTGTCACCACCTTGAGCAACATGGGGGGTGGGGTGGGATGGGATAGAAACGCAATAAATAAAGGTATCAAGGCATTTATACACCATCCCGCTTTGCTTCCTGCTGGTGCCTGCGCTGCAGTTTCCTGATTATGAAATTCTACAGTTTTAAACACCCCAGTTATGTTAGGAATCATTCTGCAAAGAAATAGAAAAGATGATTGTAACTTTAAGAACCTTTTCTGTTTGTTCTGGGTGTGGTTTTCTAGGCTGATTAGACACAGCTGGTGATGTGTATAAAAGAAAAGAAGTTGCAGTTTGAATTTTGCCTGTAGAGAGAGAACATCCACATGCTTTGTGTTTGTTGCTTTTGTATAGCTGTAATAAAACCTTTGTTTGAGTGTTTTACACCGGTCTCGTGGTCCTGTCATCTGCCACCAGAAGAAAAAAACCCTCTAACAAATCATTCCATGGTTTGGTTGTTTCAGCAAAAGGCAGGAGGAGGGGGATGGTACTGCAATCCTCTGCTCACCTCTGGACAGCTGCTGCACAAAGCAGTGATCCAGTTTAAAGATGCAAAGCAGGAGGGAAGTGGGTGTGGGGGAGGGCAGGACAGAAAAGGGGTGAAGATCTTTCAGATGGGATTTTGAAGAAATGAAAAAGCATCGGTCACGAATCCAAAAGAGCCAGTGGTGTTAGTGTGGCATAGGTGCCAGAGCACCCACCAAATTCCCCTTGAAGGGGCTGGGCACCCACAATTTTCTGTGCCAGAACAATGCACACTCACTGAATTGTTGGCGTGCACTTTCAAGGTGCGATGGAGGGACAGGCACAGAGAAAGCTGCTTGCTTCAGAGACTTTATTGCTGCCACACTGTGGCGGCTGGAAAGAAGGGGAAAGGAAGAGCTTTGTCTGCCTGGCACAGGAGAGGCCAAACAGCGGAGAAGGAAGCCCACCAGGGCAGTGGAGAGCCTCTGCTGCTCACTCGCAGTCGTTTTCCGCGGCAGACATCTCAGCCTCGTACTTGCAGACATAGCTGTTCTTACGGCTGCAGAGCTCGTCGTTCCATTTTCTGAAACCTAAGAGGTGAGACAGGAATTAGTGCCAAAATTTGGGATGAGCAGAAGCAGAATGGTAGGGTTGGAAGGCACCCACAAAGGGCATCCAGCCCAACCGGCTTCTATGCAAGAATCTCAATGAAAGCATTCATGACAGATGGACAGCCAACCTCTGCCTAAAAATCTCCAAGGAAGGAGAGGCCATCACCTTCCGAGGGAGACCTTTCCACTGTCAAACAGCAGGAATCTTTTTGCCCAACATGAAGATCAAATCCACGACCTTGAGATGGAAGCGTCTCCTGCTCTACCAAAAGGATGCTGGACTAATTGGACTCCCCTCCCCCGCCACCCCCACTTGGGCCTGATTCATCTGCTGCAGCCAGGCTGTCCTGAGGTTCTGGGTCATGAGGAAGGCGGTGCTCGTGGCAGCATAAGCACTGGCCAGTCCTGGTCACAACCAGCTTCTGCGATAAAGACCCACCGCACCCTGTCTCCCTTCCGCCAGGGTCAGGGAGGAAGAAGGGGAGCGAGGGGATGCCCAGCCCACAGAGTGCAATGCACACCTTTGCCCAAGCTTCTCACCTGTAGTTCGCCACAGCTCCACGCACCACTCGCCAGTCTTGCCATGATTATTGGGCTGCCCGGTGCTCCACTGCGTGTGGTCAGCGATGAGTCCGTCACTCCACTGCCAGGATGTGCTTCCAGGAGTCTGGGGGAACACAGAAAACGAGGAAGGGGTGGCCCGTGTGCCTCGAGGGGTGCGTGGAAGGAGGAGGAGGACAGGGGCTCCCATAGACTCATAAGAGCAAAGTTCAGACAGGGGCACCTTCTCCCAAAGCACCCAGTAATGGTTGGTAGTGGACCTCCCTGCCACAGGCATCAGGCTCGATCTGGGGAGGGCTCCCAACTAAGTGAGAGGCAGCCTGGTGTAGTGGTTAGAGCATCAGACTAGGAGCTAAGAAGGACTGGGCTGAGAAGCTCATTGGCTGCGGCCTTGGGAGCTGGTCGCTGTCTTCTCTCAGCCTGACCTACCTCACAGGGTTGTTTTGGAGATTAAATGAGGAAAGGGAGAACTACAGGTCCGCCTTGAGCTTCTTGGAGAAAAGGGTAGGATATAAATGCAATAACTAAGTAAGAACAGTACTTGCTTGGCATGAAGAAGGGCTCAGGACAGAGTCCCCCACAGCATCCCTAATTAAAAGTGTCACAGCCTGCGATAAACGCGCTTGGACCCTTGGCTAGATGGGCAACGAGAGAAAGCAGCAGCTTCCCGTGCTGCCAGTGACAAACTCTTGCTTTTGGCACAGAATTGGAGAGTTGGGAGGGGACACCAGGGGCCATCCAACCCCCTGCAATGCAGAGGAACCACACCTAAACAGTTCCTCTGTTTAAAGACTTCCAGGGAAGGAGAGTGTGCCACCAGCTGTTTCCTGAATGGAACATGATGCAACCCAGAGGTAAGAACAGAATGAGGGCTGGACAAGGTGACTGTTAGCTAGATTTGTAGCTGATTTTAAAGCCAGGCTCTTTGGAGTGCAGCAAGACCGTGCTATTGTTAGAAAAATTGCATTTCTCAACTTAAATGTTTTGTGGGTGTTTTGTTTTTGTTTTTTTGTAATATTGGATTTAGCAATGACAAACCTAGACAGCATCTTAGAAAGCAGAGACATCACCTTGCCAACAAAGGTCTGTATAGTTAAAGCTATGGTTTTCCCAGTAGTGATGTATGGAAGTGAGAGCTGGACCATAAAGAAGGCTGATCGCCGAAGAATTGATGCTTTTGAATTCTGGTGCTGGAGGAGACTCTGGAGAGTCCCATGGACTGCAAGAAGATCAAACCTATCCATTCTGAAGGAAATTAGCCCTGAGTGCTCACTGGAAGGACAGATCCTGAAGCTGAGGCTCCAAGACTTTGGCCACCTCATGAGAAGAGAAGACTCCCTGGAAAAGACCCTGATGTTGGGAAAGATGGAGGGCACAAGGAGAAGGGGACGACAGAGGACGAGATGGTGGGACAGTGTTCTCGAAGAGACCAGCATGAGTTTGACGCAACTGCGGGAGGCAGTGGAAGACAGGAGTGCCTGGCGTGCTCTGGTCCATGGGGTCACGAAGAGGCGGACACGACTTAACAACTAAACAACAACAACAAATATTGGATTTATTCTACTCTTGCCACATTGTCAATTTGTTCTCATTTCTTTTGTCATTTGCCAACACGTTCTGTATTTTGTATGTCTGCATTTCCAGGACTCTGTTATTTCGATATTCTGAGCGTTTGATATATTTACCATAAGCCAATTTGGGCACATCTCATAGTAGTGTAAAAGCAGCATGCAAGCAAACTCAGTCAGTCTCTGGTCCTGCTCTCCAGCAATGATGAGGAGGGGAAAGGAGCAGCCTTGAAGCAGAGGCAGAGCAAGACTGGGGTGGGGGGGGCAAGTTGCTCACTCATGCACTGCTTCCCCCTCCCCCATTTAAAACAAAAGGTGTGGGTTTGCACACTAAGGTGAGGGAGTTTGCACAGAGCATAGATTAATCGAAGCAAATAGAAAGGGCTGGGGAAAAGCTAAGAGCCTTTTGGAGCACACCCATGTTGACAATAGACATCTTTTCACGGTCATTTAGCAAATAATAATAGGTGACATGAGCATTTCCTGGACTGATGGGAACAGTCAACTTCTCTCTCTCTCTCTCTCTCTCTCTCTCTGAGAGAGATGGAAATAATGTCAGAAGCATTATTTTAAAGCTCTCAGAATGTGGTCACGGAGAGCAGCAAGGAGACTGTGGCCTTTGAAGCACATTTGATGCACCTTCTTGCCTTCAAAGCATCCTTAATGCCTCTCAGAGCTACAATTCCCAGAAAGGCCTTAACAAACTACAGCACCCAGAATTCTTTGCAGGAAAGACAGCTCTTTGAATGTGCTTCAGGAGTGTAGACTTCATGCAGCCAGTCTGCGCTGATTGCCAGTTTGCTTCCAGGGCAAGCTCAAGGCGTTACTATTAGTATATAAAGTCCTCAATAACTTGGGACCCGTTTACCCATGAGATATCCTTACCCCACACAAGCCCACCTGACTGCTTCAGGTGGGCTTGTGGTGTAGCCTTATTGGAGTTCACCTATTGGGTCTGCGTTGCTCCCAGGAGGGAGGGAGGAAGTCAAATGACAACATGGTTGATTCAAAGAAAGAGTTTATTCTGCTCTCCGGATAGCAGAAGGCACTTGCGTGGTCAGTTCACAGCAAGTCCAAAGAAATGAGAAATTTAATGCAGTATATATATCCTCCAGGCACCCTCTCCCCCCTTCCCCAGGAATCCAGCCACGTCAGTCTATACACACAGGTTGACACCACAGATGTTCCTGCTCCGGTACTCTTAACCATAAAAGGGTTTGCCTTCCTGTGCTTCTGACCATAAAAGGGTATTCCTGTTCCTATACTCTTATCTTGAAGCAAGAGGTCACCAACTCCAAGAACACACTCTGGATGGGCCAGAATGGGCACAACTGCAGGTGCCATGTAATGGCCGTTCCACATTTTCAAGAACTCAGATCATTTTGATTGACAACGCCTTCCCCTCTGGAACTCCCTGCCTCTTGAGATCAAGCAAGTGCGTTCCCTGTGCTCTTTTCAGCGCCTGCTACAAAACATTCCTCTTTAGGCAAGCCTACACCCAGAAGCTTAGAAGGCTGCTGTGAATTCCAAACTGTGTTAGTGTTTCAGCTTCCTGTATCTTTTAAACTACGGTTGTGAATTTATCTTTACGAATGCACAACGGGCATTGCCGTACTGGCCTGAATACTGCACTTTCCCCCCCAAAATTCCAACTGTGAAAAGTGCAGCTTAAATTCACGACCTTACAAAAATTGGCTTTTATGATATTGCTGTAGGATTTTCTTCTACTTCTGCCATTTACAGGTGTGAGTGTCTGCAGAATTTTTAGGAAGCAGCTTATATTTGGGTATTGTCTTTTTTTCTTCCCCCCCCTTGAATTTTAAAGGTGTGGGTTATTCGTGGGTGCGGCTTATATTCGGGCCAATGCGGTATGTAGCAGTGCCAATTCTGCAGATCAAAACGGCTGAGGGGGTGGCATGTGGGTCCCTGCTTGAGGTGTGTGGTTTGGGGGTCCAACTCATCCCTGTACAGTGGTACCTCGGGTTACATATGCTTCAGGTTACATACACTTCAGGTTACAGACTCCGCTAACCCAGAAAAAGTACCTTGGGTTAAGAACTTTGCTTCAGGATGAGAACAGAAATCGTGCTCTGGCAGCGCGGCAGCAGTGGGAGGCCCCATTAGCTAAAGTGGTGCTTCAGGTTAAGAACAGTTTCAGGTTAAGAACGGACCTCCGGAACGAATTAAGTACTTAACCCGAGGTACCACTGTAATGGCAAGTTACAGGGCCTTGGTCCAGTATACCTGAAGGAGCATTTCCACCCCCATCATTCTGCCCGGACACTGAGGTCCAGCACCGAGGGCCTTCTGGCGGTTCCCTCACTGCAAGAAGCCAAGTTACAGGGAACCAGGCAGAGGGCCTTCTCGGTGGTGGCACCCGCCCTGTGGAACGCCCTCCCAGCAGATGTCAAAGAGAAGAACAAGTACCAGACTTTTCGAAGACATCTGAAGGCAGCCCTGTTTAGGGAAGCTTTTAATGTTTAACAGACTACTGTATTTTGATATTTTGTTGGAAGCTGCCCAGAGTGGCTGGGGAAACCCAGCCAGATGGGCGGGGTATAAATAATAAATTGTTATTGTTGTTGTTGTTATAAGTTGTTTTTAACTGGGGGTTTTTTATGCTGTGTTTTATTGCTACAACCTGCCCTGGGACCTTGGGGTGAAGGGCAGGCAATAAAGAACGAAATGAATAATAATATTAATAATAATTTATTATTTATACCCTGCCCATCTGGCTGGGTTTCCCCAGCCACTCTGGGCGGCTTCCAACAAAACACTAAAATACAATAACCTATTAAACATTAAAAACATTAAATGAAATCGTGTGAAGGAGCTAAGCTCTGGGGAGTGGGGGTTGCTTAAGGTGGGGGTTGGTGGGGAGACCAACCTTGGCAATATTGTGGAGCCCGATCCAGACGTCCCCGTCAGGCCGAAACCTGGAGAGGTACCTGCGGAGGCGGCAGCACTCTTTCTTGGTCAAGATGGAAGCCAGGTGGGAGCCTTGTTGCTGGCACTCTTCCTAAGCCGGGGCAGGAGAAGAATGTGGTCAGTTCAGAGGCGATTTTATTAGGATTCCTAACAGTGAGCATTCCAAATGAAAGCAAAAGAATCTTTCTTTATGCAGTGACAGCAGCCAGAATTTTAGAAGTCAAATATTAGAAAAGCGAACTTACACCATCTAGAGAGGAATCGCAAAAAATGACGGAGGCAATAAGAAATCAATCAACAGACAAAGTTAAAAAAAAGACTATTTGTTAAATAAATAGTTAAGCTAAGCAACAAGTTGATTAAAAAGAAAGGAAGATGGAAAGGACGGGAAGTCAAATGTTGATGGAGAAAATCTATTGTTAGGAAATTTGTATATATATATATTCCTTTTTTATGACTTGACTTTGAGTTGTGGGTAACAATGAATTCAAGTTTATGTTGTATGGACGCAGTTATGAACAATAAAGCAAAAGAAAAGAAAATACAAAGTAAAAAAAGAATGGGAATGTTTTAACAATTACTTAACAAAACAAGGTTCCAACAATAAGACTTGGCTGTGTCTTGAATAATCTTGCAGATAGTAAAATATTTTTCTTCATTCCAAGATGAGGAAAAACAATTAAATAGAGGGGGGAAATAGGAATACTCGAACTGAAACCGTAATGAGGTAGGAGGAAGTCAACAATATAATAAATTGAAAAGGGATTCAACCCAGATTGAAGGTTGAAATTTTTTTTAAAAACCACTAATATTGGTTTGAATTATATTAAGTATTACTTTACATTAGATAGGTATTTTTATTGTTTAAATTGTCATTTTTTTCTTTTCTTTCCTTAGATACTGTATTGTATAACTATATTACTATATAAATCTTAGATTTGTAAATAATTTATTTATATATAAGTCAAGATCTACATCAGTCTAAGAATAACCATTGTAAGATTCTAGATTCAGGCAGGTAGCCGTGTTGGTCTGACGCAGTCGAAATAAATCAGAAGTATCTGAAGAAGTGTGCATGCACACGAAAGCTTATACCCAGAACAAACTCAGTTGGTCTCTAAGGTGCTACTGGACAATTTTGTGATTATTTTTTTTATTTAAAAAAAATCAACATTGTAAGATTGTTTTATCTTTTTACCCACTTTTCTTTTAATGTATGCTTTATCTGTTTCCTTTTTAATGTATATTTTTGTCAATAAATAAATAAATAAAGCCGTCAGTTCAAGAGTGTCTCTTTGGAAAATCAGCCTTGCCGGGTGTTGGGTCTGGTGTGAATGATCCAGGCGCGACTCAGGACTCACCTCGGCCTCTTTCCAACACTTCCGGTCAGAGAAGTATCCATAGCAGCTGCCCTCGTAGAAGAGCCAGTCCGTCGGGCAAGGAGAAGAGGGGCCCTCTATCGAGTCTTCAGCTGCTTTTGAAAGAGGGTTGGGTGAAGACCAAAGAGAGAGAGATACAGGATCCTGGGATTATTTTGCTGCGGTTACTGCTCTGCCGAGGGTTAGACTAGATGGCCTTTGGGGATCCCTTCCAACTCTACATTTCTGTGACTAGATGGGCCATTGGCCTGGCAGGCTTCCTGGTCTCTTAAGACTTTGTGCAAAGATCAGCACAGCCATCAGGCGTCACCAGCAAAAATTAATCTCCATCTCCTGTAAGAAGAATATTTCCCACATAGACAATAGCAGGGTAAACACAGAAGAAACGAGCCAAGATAGCCAGTTTACTTACTTCAAGCTCTTTCAATTCCCCATTAAGCCAAGTCAACAAAATGAGGAACAGGCAGGAAACAGGCAGTGCGCTGTAATGGTTAGAGTGTTGGATCGGGACCTGGGAGACTAGGGTTGAGATCCCCACTCGGCCATGAAGCTCACTGGGGGCTCACTGCATTTCTAGACCCAGAGCCAAGGCTTCAAGGTCTCAGTTTCTGAGGGGGTTTTGATTTTTTGTCCCACGTGCCCCTCTGAATGCCCGTCTGGTCCTTCCCTTTGGCCCTTTGCCCACTGATTCTCCAAGGCACAGAGGAGCGAGGAGGGACCCCGACTCACCTGCTGCGGAGGGGCTGCCAGACCAATGGCCAAAGAAGCTCAGAGCAACGATGATGTAAGCCGCGGTCCCCATGGCCTGGATCCTTTCTTGCCTGGAGGGAGATGGGGGGAGGAAGGAAGCACAGCAGAGAAAGGCAAGGATGTCCCACAAGCCCCAAGGCTGGGCTGCCAGGCTGGCTAACTCCAGAATGCTTTGGGTACCAGCTAGCACATGCGTAGGCCAACTAAGGCCCAGGGGCCGGATCTGGCCCAATCGCCTTCTCAGTCCAGCCCCTGGATGAGCCGGGAATCAGTGTGTTTTTATATGAGTAGAATGTGTGCTTTTATTTCAAATGCGTCTCTGGGTTATTTGTGGGGCATAGGAATTCATTCATATTTTTTCTCAAAATTTAGTCCGGCCCCCCATAAGGTTTGAGGGACAGTGGACCAGCCCCCTGCTGAAAAGGTTTGCTGACCCCTGAGCTAGCAGGTCTCAGAGGGAAGTTGCTCCACCCTCAAACTCCTGGGAAATTGTTAGGAATGATAACAAGGGTTGTCACAAGGAAGATGGAGCAAGCTTGCTTTCTGCAGCTCCAGAGGGGAAGACTCGAACCCATGGCTTCCAATTACAAGAAAGGAAATTCCCATTAGCCATCAGGGAGAACATTCTGACAGCAAGAGCTGTTCCACAGTGGAATGGTCTCAAATCGGGAGTTTGGGGACTTTCCTTTCTTGGATGCATTTAAGCTAGCGGATGGCAGCTAACGGATTGAGGTTGAATCCTGACAAGACAGAAGTACTGTTTTTGGGGGACAGGGGGCGGGCTGGTGTGGAGGACTCCCTGGTCCTGAATAGGGTAACTGTGCCCCTGAAGGACCAGGTGCACAGCCTAGGGGTCATTTTGGACTCACAGCTGTCCATGGAGGCGCAGGTCAGTTCTGTGTCCAGGGCAGCTGTCTCCCAGCTCCACCTGGTACGCAGGATGAGACCCTACCTGCCCATGGACTCTCTCGCCAGAGTGGTGCATGCTCTGGTTATCTCCCGCTTGGACTACTGCAATGCGCTCTACGTGGGGCTACCTTTGAAGGCAACCCAGAAACTGCAATTAATCTAGAATGCGGCAGCCAGACTGGTGACTGGGAGCAGCTGCCGAGACCACATAATACCGGTCCTGAAAGATCTTCATTGACTCCCAGTACATTTCCAAGCACAATTCAAAGTGTTGGTGCTGACCTTTAAAGCCCTAAACGGCCTCAGCCCAGTAGACCTGAAGGAGCATCTCCACCTCCATCGTTCTGCCTGAACACTGAGGTCCATCTCTGAGGGTCTTCTAGCGGTTCCCTCCCTGCGAGAAGTGAGGTTACAGGGAACCAGGCAGAAGGCCTTCTCGGTGGTGGCACCCACCCTGTGGAACGCCCTCCCACCAGATGTCAAGGCAATAAACAACTATTCTACTTTTAAAAGACATCTGTAGGTGGCCCTGTTTAGGGGAGTTTTGATGTCTGATGCTGTATTGTTTTTAATACTCTGTTGGAAGCCGCGCAGAGTGGCTGGGGAAACCCAGCCAGATGGGTGGGGTATAAATAATAAGTTGTTGTTGTTGTTGTCATCTAAGCAGATGTTGGGTGGCGACTGTCATGGATGCTTTGGTTTCCCGCATTGCGGGGGGTGGACTAGAGGACCTCGGGGTCACCTCCCAACTCTACATCTCTTCCCTTCTAAGGGAATGCCTGCTTAACATCAAAGAAACCCTCAGCTCCAGCCCTCGTGAAACTAGACAAAGGACAGGGGCCTTTTTCTCACCAGTCACTCACCTCTGTGTTTAAAACGCTCCCGTTTTGTGCTGGTCCCTGGGTGCAGAGTGAGGCCTAGGAGCCAAGCGGTTGCTATATACCCTTACAAGAGGGAGGGGCTGGGAGACTTAACCTGGCATGTCTCAGAACCTCCTGCAAACAAAGTCTCAGGAGGATCCTGTCCCTCCAACCAACTTGTGCCAACTTGGGCAGGTGCCCAGTGGAGGAGGGGGGTCAGGCAGGAGCAGGAGAAGTTCTCTTATCTGCTTCGCTCCGTCCCATGAAAGATCAGCTAGGAGAGGATTTGAAGCAGCTTTCAAGCAGAACATATTTTATTCCCACCCAAGTTGGTGTTATCATCTTTTTTTAATCACCATCTTTGGTGAACCGCCTTGAGATCTGCGGGTGTAGGGCAGTATACAAATTTAATAAACAATAATATATATAATTGAAATAAACAAAAGAGACATTCTTCATCATCCATTAATACAAAAATATAAAACAAATCAACTAAAAGAAATGGGGGGAATTTTCTAATATAATAGAATAAAGAATATCTTCTTACTTTACAGAAGTTGTATGCCAAGTAAAGGGGGAATGAAAATATAGATCAAAATGTTTGCAATTTTCTTCTTGTGTCTGCACGTCTGTCGATTGCCTGGAGATGGAAAACCTTGTCTAAAATTGATGCCACCTTAGGGTGGGGTTTCAGAATGGAAAATTGCACTGCATGAAAAACTTACCCGCTGAACCCATTTTTTGAACGGAAAAACAGAGTGAACCTCTTGTCTGTGTTTGGCTGTATTTTATTGGCTACATTAAAAAAAGAAAATTAGCACTGGTCTCTTCCACAAGTGTCTCAGTAAATGTGGAATAAGTAACATCCGATTGGCTGAGAATTTTTCTGGATATAAAAGCGAGCCTTTTGCTTTTGCTGCTCCTTGCGTCCCTGGTGGTTTCTGCTGTAGTTTTGTGTTTCTGCTTATCTGGCAAGACGTGTGCAACTCACTCTTAATCTCCCATATCCCAGGCAGAAACCTCCCCTGACCTGTCTGTATCTTGATCGCAAATATCCTGACAACCAGCTCTTTCGTGTCTTCTTGTGAACGAAACATCCCAAGCCAGCCTTGGTTTGGCTCGATTTAGATTCCATGTGTTTTGTCTCAGGAAGTTCTGTTCTGCTATTTAGGTTATGTGGGTAACATTTAATTTTAAAAAAATCTTTTGAAAGAAAGAGGAGCATCAGCGGTAGAAAAGTGTGTGCTCTCAAGGAGCTGAACCCTAGAGCCAGAAACATCACCGAAGCACCATGGGAGCTGTAGTTTGCTAAGGACATGAAGAACTGTGAGGAAACCCCAGTTCCCCTCACAGAGCTTCGATTCCCAGTTGGGATTAACCATTAATCCCTCTTCGTGGTGAACCCCGAGAACTGTAGTTCTAGGAGCTGAATAGCAGTCCCCTAACCACTCTCAGCATCCTTAGCAAACTGTGGTTCCCAGGATTCTTAGAGAGTCAAAAGTCATGAGGTCCAGCACCGAGGACCTTCTGGCAGTTCCCTCCCTGTGAGAAGTGAGGTTACAGGGAACCAGGCAGAGGGCCTTCTCGGTGGTGGCGCCCACCCTGTGGAACGCCCTCCCGTCAGATGTCAAGGAGATAAACTACTACCATACTTTTAGAAGACATCTGAAGGCAGCCCTGTTTAGGGAAGTTTTTAATGTTTGATGTTTTATTGTGCTTTTAATTCTGTTGGGAGCCGCCCAGAGTAGCTGGGGAAACCCAGCCAGATGGGTGGGGTATAAATAAATTATTAATGATGGTGGCAGTGGTGGTGTGGTATAAGAGTGCTTTAAATATATGGCTTGGATGTCACCCTCAAGGTTTCCTGGGCAAAGAAACGAGCCTTTGCTTGTTCTTAGTTTGGGATGCAGGTTGTGGAACTCTGGCAAACATTGACCTAGCAGAAGGGGCTTCATGGGCTGTAAAGGTAAAGGGACCCCTGACCATTAGGTCCAGTCATGACCGACTCTGGGGTTGCAGCGCTCATCTCGCTTTACTGGCCAAGGGAGCCGGCGTACAGCTTCCGGGTCATGTGGCCAGCATGACTAAGCTGCTTCTGGCAAACCAGAGCAGCGCACGGAAACGCCGTTTACCTTCCCGCCGGAGTGGTACCTATTTATCTACTTGCACTTTGACGTGCTTTCAATGGAGGGAGGTGGAAGAAAAGGGGCTCTGAACTGATGTTTCAGCCAAACGATGCCTCAAGGATGTATTTTTTCATTTATTGTGGGAGCCTTTTCCCCTGAGCTGCACCATAAACCCATGGTAAATCCAGCAATGAAAAATTTCCATTCCCTTGATGCCCTAAGCCCATGCTCATTTTGCTTTGTGGTTCATCCAGCCCTGCCCTTGGAAGGTGGTGATCTCCCATTCATTGGAGGTTTCTCAACAGAGGTTGGAGGACCACCTGCCAGGGATTCCTGTATTGCAGGGGGTTGGTCTAGATGACCCTTGGGGATCCCTTCAACCCCCCCCCCCCCAATGCTTTACTTCTGTGATTTGTGGAGCGTCCCCACCAGCACTGGCTGCAGATATGTAACGGGTTGTTTTTATTTTACCAGCTTTTCTGCTGCAAGGGGAAATCCCGATAAAGTGAAAGCACATTATGGGCTGGCATCATGGCCATTGCAACAAATAAAACCTCATATGCACTGTGAGGCACTGGCACACAGAAATGACACTCCAGGCAGGGCAGTCACCTTTGCACCTGTTGTTCCCCAAAAGCTATCAGAAACAGGATGCTGAACTAGGTAAACCTAGTCCTGAGGTGTCCGTCTATCACCTGCTCAGTTTGAAGCACACCTGCTCCCCCTGAGCAGGTCTGCAGGCTACAGGCCACAACAGGTGAGCCTGGTGTAATCCCAGCCAGTAAGCCCTCTTTCCGCCTTCCTCAAATATTTGCTCTCCTGAGCCACTGGCATCTCCTTGTCCTCCTCTCCTGATCGCTCTGCTTCATTTCAGTGATGAAATGGCCTCTTCCCAGGACCAGAAATATTGTTGATTTAGTTAAATGTGTCTTCTGCTTGGTCTGCTGAGGTTGTGCGTCCGGGACGCTTGAAAGACACTTGCAGGGTTAGGTTTTACGAGAAATTTTTGGGTGGGTTGGAAAAGGCAAAGACTGGACTATGACACTCGGGCTTATTGTTTGTGTCACAAAGGGACAGAGCATTCAAAAATGGATTTTGGATCAAGTTTGGCATCTCGGGGGGCAACAGACACAACGGGTTGTCTGTGCCAACCCCTTTTGGCTAAGAAAAATATCCACACCATTTTTATATCTGGCTTAATAGCCGTTGTGCCAAGGAATCCTGGAGAATCCTGTGGATTTCTAACTGAACTGAGACACACAGGATTCTTTGGGGGAAGCTATGCCAGCCTCTTCCATGCTCCTTGCAAAAAGGAACCTAGAGTGATAAGTTATAAACTGCCCAGAGGAAGGATTCCAGGAAGAGTGGTGGATTCTCCTTCGCTGAACACTTTTAAGCAGAGGTTGGATGGATACCTGTCGTGTAAGATCTAGTTGAGATTCCTACATTGCAGGGGATCTGTTCCATTCCGGAAGTAAGCTCCAAAACCAAAGCGTTCCAAAACCAAGGCGCGGTTTCCCATAGAAGGTAATGCAAAACGGATTAATCCGTTCCAGACTTTTAAAAACCACCCCTAAAACAGCAATTTAACATGAATTTTTACTATCTAACGAGACCATCGATCCATAAAACGAACGCAAGAAACAATGTACTGCAGGCACACAATCAATTCATCAGGAGCTGATCTGGGTTCCACACAGTCACAAAAACAAAACAAAAAAGAGCCACAAAAACAAAAACGCAAAATAAATAGTAAAAACAGACAGACCTCAGCGTAACACTCAAAACGGAGCATGTTCGGCTGCCGAAGAAAGTTTGCAAACCGGAACACTTACTTCCGGGTTCACAGTGTTTGGGTTCCAAGTCATTTGAGTACCAAGGCGTTTGAGAACCATGGTACCACTGTACATCCTCCCAGCCCTGTGAATGCTAGAAATTGCAGCAGGGGGCCATTTCTGGCCACTTTCCCTTCATCCTCCCTGGCATGAGAACCGAGGACAAGAAAGGGGGCAGGAACATAAGCCGGAAACGCCAAGCCACCCCCCTCCCCCCTCGAAAAAATGTGCTGCCCACCATGCCGCTCACACCCAGCCATATAGTTTTATTACGCTTTGGATTTCTCTCTCTAGTCTCTGCCAGCCGGTGCCTCCGTTTCCCCAGTGGCATCGCTGCCCAGCCTTCATCTCCGGTGCCCAGACCGAGCCGAAGCGCCTCTGCCCGTCTCTCTACTTCAGGCCTGCGGCAGCTAGGCTGCTCAGCCGGTTGAGCGGCTGCAGCCACGAAGGCGTCTCTTGCTGCCAGAGTCCGTAGCTCCTGCTGTCCATCCAAGGCAGGAGGTCCAAATCCGTCTCGGAGGGCCTGTGCTCTCGGCTGTGCCGGCGGGACATCTTGGAGAGACGCCCTTTGCACCGGGCGCAAACCAGGGGGGCAGGCATGTCGTAGAACAGCACTGAGGGGCAGAGGACAGGGAAGCGAGTGAAGGAAGCAGGAGGGCTCAGATCGCACCGCAAAGGGGCCCCTGCAAGGTGGAATTAAGGGGCAGGCATCAGACCACCCCAAACACTGGGGCCCATATATATATGCCCTCCTCACCGCTCCAAACTGTGGAACTGGCACTGCTGTGGGTGCCTCATAATCCCCCATCCTGCCTTTGCAAGCAGCTACACTTTGGAACACCCTGCCTATAGACACCACTTTTCGGCACCCAGTAAAATTTTTGTCGAGTTGAGTTATTTTAGAGTTATTGCTTAAAAATGGGGGGAAAAAAATACAGTTTACACAAAACATAACATACACCCCAAAATTTTCAGTAACACCCCCCCAAAAAATAATAAGAGTAAAAAAAACATGTTGACCTAAAAAAAATAACTCATCTGCTGATTTTATGTATGCTAGATTCATCACTGTTGAATATTTAAATTGCCAGTAATAATCAGACTGTTTTATTATTTTCGCAAACCGCTCTGAGGTTTTCTGCAACCAAGCGGGCTGTAAATTTCATAAGGTAAATAAAATGTATTAGCAGCCTCTGAGCAATGCGGTTTTATCCCACAGAGGAGGGCTAATAAAATTGTGGCTATAGATGGTCACAGAAGATCTGGTCTGACGAGCCATAGTCGGAGCAAGGAAGTCAGCGTGGGCTAGTGGTTAGAGTGCGAGCCTAGAACCTGGGAGAGACTTGGGTTCAAATCCCCCCTCAGCCCTGAAGCTTTCACTGGGTGTGCTGGGGCCAATCACTGCCTGTGCGCCTAACCCACCTCCCAGGGCTGTTGTGGGAATGAAATGAGGACTAGGTCCTGAGAGAACAGGGTTCAAATTCCCACTTGACCCTAAACTCACTGGGGGGGGGGTCCCTGGGGGGGGCGGTACCTGCCATCTCTCAGTCTAAGTTACTTTACAGAGTTGCTGGGAGGATTAAATGAGGAGGTAGAGAAAACCACATATGCCATCTTGTGGTCCTTGGAGGAAAAGGCAGGATATGGATGCAATAAACAATTAAATAAGCAGCAAAGTGCTTTCTTCCGTTAACAATCCCACATCTAGAACCACTAATCTGGATTAAGGTAAAGGTAAAGGACCTCTGACAGTCAAGTCCAGTCATCAACGACTCTGGGATTGCGGCGCTCATCTCACGTTACTGGCCGAGGGAGCCAACGTTTGTCCGCGGACAGTTTTTCTGGGTCATGTGGCCAGCATGACTAAGCCGCTTCTGGCAAACCAGAGCAGCGCACAGAAATGCCGTTTACCTTCCCGCCGGAGCGGTACCTATTTATCTACTTACACTTTGACGTGCTTTCGAACTGCTAGGTTGGCAGGAGCAGGGACCGAGCAACGGGAGCTCATCCCATCGCGGGGATTCGAACCGCCGACCTTCTGATCAGCAAACCCAAGAGGCTCAATGGTTTAGACCACAGCACCACCTCGCATCCCGCATTAATCAGTGCCAAATGGTTAAACCTGCCCTGCCTGGGGGCTCCAGCTCCAGCTCCTTGCAGTGCTGAGAGTGGGAGTTTCTGGTGCCAAGTTAGGAAAAGTAATTCCTTCTTCCTCTCCAGAGGATTCTGGCACCTGTTTTCTCTCTCAGCAGTTCCTCTTCTGGAGCAGGCATCCCCAATCTTCGGCCCTCCAGATGTTTTGGCCTACAACTCCCATGATCCCTAGCTAACAGGACCAGTGGTCAGAGATGATGGGAATTGTAGTCCAAAATATCTGGAGGGCTGAAGGTTGGGGATGCCTGTTCTGGAATCTCCATCCTATCTGCGGCTACAGCTGCTCCATTAAAATTGAAGGAGCCTCTTGGCTCAGCTGGGGTGGCTTCAGAGTTTGTGAGCTGCCAGCAAAAAGGTAAAGGACCCCTGGACGGTTAAGTCCAGTCAAAGGCAACTATGGGGTTGCGGCACTAATCTCGCTTTCAGGCCAAGGGAGCTGGCATTTGTCCACAGACAGCTTTCCAGGTCATGTGGCCAGCAGGACTAAATCGCTTCTTGCGCAACAGAACACTGTGACAGAAGCCAGAGTGAGCACAGAAATGCCATTTATCTTCCCACCGCAACGGTACCTATTTATCTACTTGCACTGGTGTGCTTTCAAACTGCTAGGTTGGCAGGAGCTGGGACAGAGCAATGGGAGTTCGCCCCGTCGCAGGGATTCAAACTGCCTACATTCCAATCGGCAAGCCCAAGAGGCTCAGTGCTTTAGACCACAGCACCACCCGGGTCCCTGTAGCTGCCAGTGGCCCCCCTTTGAAAAGAGATAACTTGGCCTCTGAACTTCATGCACTGGTAACTTCCAGGCTGGGCTACTGCAATACCATTTACGTGGGGCTGCCCTTGAAGACGCCTCGGAAACTTCAGCCATCCCAAAATGCAGCAGCCAGATTCCTGTCTGGGGTTCTCATATAAGCCCCATTTTAAAACAGCTGCACTGGTTGGGGGTTCATTTCCAGGCCCAATTCAAGGGCTTTGTGTTGGTGTTTAAAGCCTCAAATGACTCAGGCTGCAAATACAGTGGTACCTTGGTAAACAAACAGCTTGCCATCCAAACAAATCAGCTCCCAAATACTGCAAAGCTTGGATGTGAGTGTTCCAGTTTGCAAACGTTTTTTGGAAGCTGATTGAGTGCAGGAAGCTCTTGCAGCCAATCGGAAGCCGCACCTTGATTTTCGAACGGTTTCGGGAGTCGAACGGACTCCCAGAACAGATTAAGTTTGAGAACCAAGGTACCACTGTATCTGAAAGGCCACCTCCTTCACTACAGGCCCTTTCAGGTGCTGGGATTGGCAGGGGGGGGCTCTTGATGGTTCCTCCACTCTCAGAGACTTGGGGTTGGCGTCCCGGGGGAAGAGGGCTTTCTCTGTTGCGGCCCCTAAGCTCTGGGCCTCCCTCCCCACAGAGGTTTGCCTGACACCTTCATTACTCTGCTTTCATCCCATAGCGGAGACGCACCTCTTTGCTCTGGCTTTCGCCACTAGAGGTACATGTCCTTAGGGACCCGCCTTCGTTTTACGGCTGGAGGTTGTTTTAATCTGTTTTTAACATTGCGCTTTAATGCCTTAACTCGTGCTGGCAATAAATAAATTCATAGCGATAATAATAGCTGCTCCCTCCAGATGTTGCAGGACTCCACCTGCCAGCACCCTTTACTATTCGCTGTGCTGGCTGGGAGTTATAGCACAACACAGCTGGAGTGCACCCGGCTGGGGAAAGGCTCCTCTGTGCCCAGAGCCATTTACTTTGACCCTCATCCCCAGCAGATCCTGAGGGCCTTTGCCATGGCACACACCTGCTCCACTTTGGAGACAGAGACTTGAGTGTCTGTCCCACTGCTTCCTCCCTCTGACTCTGTACACCTGGGATTTGCAGGGGCTCAGTGGCATCGCATGGCAGGTGGGTGCTGGCTATTGGCAGAAATAAGCACTTTTTTGAGGGGGGGAATTGCTTACCTTTAATGTCATTGGACAGAGCCGAGAGTTCGTCATTGTAATCTCCCTGAAAGGACACCCTGTCAGGGAACGAGACAAAATGCAACACAAGGATGTGGCTTAAACCATTTGGAATGCGCTTCAAAGCTCTGTGTTCTGTTTTAGGAATGCTAATAATAATAATAATAAAATATTATTATTATTATTATTACTATTATTATTTATACCCCGCCCATCTGGCTGGGTTTCCCCAGCCACTCTGGGAGGCTTCCAACAAAATATTAAACAGAACAAAACTTCAAACATTAAAAACTTCCCTAAACAGGGATAGTTTATCTGCGGAACTCACTCCCACAGAAGGCATAAAAAGAGGCCACCAATGGCCCACCCTGTTCTCACAGTTGCCAACTGGGTGCCCATCATGGGAAACCAGCAAGCAAGAACTGAGCACAGGAACAACTCTTTGTTAGTATATAGTTCCATTCCACCTTTAGAACAGGCATGTGGAGTTGTTGTATGTCACATGTCTGTTTACTTCCAGCACAGTCTGCTGGGAACTTCCGCTGTATATAGCTTTTGCTATACTGTTGTTTGCTTGGACACGAGGGGAAGCAGACATGCTGTAAACTATGCTGAATAAAATGCTGTAAATATGCTTACATATGTCTCTGTCCGCTACTTCCATTGTGAAGATTTATTCACTCTGCTGATAAGAGCGTGCTCAGTCTCTAAAGGTTTCTGAGGCTCGAGTCGCTGATTGATGCTGTTCCGAGAACCGGAGTTTGCCCAGCTGCCGGCCGGTGGCTGGAACCAGCTGGGGGCCTGCCAATTGCCCCCGTCTCCCCAGACACATCCCAATACTCTTTCCCCTCCTGTGGTTTCCAACAACTGGATTCAGAAGTGTCGCTGCCTCCCTCCATGAATCCTTTTTTAAAGCCATCTCAGTTTGTGGCCACCACTGCCTCCTGTGGCCGTGAGTTCCATCATTTAACTATGTGTTGCATAGAATCCTAAAACTATAGAGTTGGAAGGGACCCCTGGGTCATCTAGTCCAACCCCCGCAATGCAGAAATCACAACCAAGGCGTCCACCGCTAAAGCAACTGCTTTGCCTTTAAAGCTCATTCCACTTTCCCAACCATCGCACAGCACAGAGTGGACTTTGCCGTTCTGGGGTGATCCCTGCTTGTCCGTTTTCTGCCCCTCCAGCCCAGAGCTGCCGTTTCCTCCCCACTAACCTGGGCAGCCGCCTCCCACCCCCAGGCTAGCCCCAGGCAGAGGAAGAGGAGTCCTGCCCAGTCTCATTGCCTGCCAACCATTCCTGGGGCACCCTTTGATGTGCCAAAAATGTGCCCTCGAGCCTGCAAGAAAACGCTCCAGCCGTTGCGCCATAGAGCACTGGGAAGTGCCTGTTAAGACATGAACCAACAGATTCAAATTATCATTATTATAATCATCATTATTATTTACCATATATACTCGAGTGTAAGCCAGCTTTTTCAGCACATCTTTAATGCTGAAAAGGCCCCCCTTGGCTTATACTCTAGTGAGGGTCCTTTTGGGGTGCTCCTTCCTCCTCCACCGCCTTTGCCGCTGTTGGTGGCGGCGGAGGAGGAAGGAGCAGCCCAGAAGCAGCTCTTTTGGCCTGCTTGTGCTTCCTCCGCCACTGCCGCCACCACCAGGTTTGTGGTGTGGTGCACTGGCTTATACTCAAGTCAATAAGTGTTCCCAGTTTTTTGTGCTAAAATTAGGTGCCTCGGCTTATATTCATGTTAGCTTATACTCGAGTATATACGGTATTAACTTTCCATGCCGCCCCCTTCATCTGTAGTTCTCAGGACAGTTCACAGGCCTCTCCTCCTCCTTTGAAGGTCTTTATGCAGAGAGTTAAACCACTGAGCCTAGGACTTGCAGATCAGAAGGTCGGCGGTTCGAATCCCCGCGACAAGCCCCATTGCTCGGTCCCTGCTCCTGCCAACCTAGCAGTTCGAAAGCACATCAAAGTGCAAGTAGATAAATAGGTACCACTCCGGCAGGAAGGTAAACAGCGTTTCCGTGCACTGCTCTGGTTCGCCAGAAGCGGCTTAGTCATGCTGACCCATAACCCGGAAGCTGTACGCCGGCTCCCTCGGCCAATAAAGCGAGATGAGCACCGCAACCCCAGAGTCGGCCACGACTGGACCTAATGGTCAGGGGTCCCTTTACCTTTACCTATGCAGAGGTTGGGCGGCCCTCTGTCAAGGTTCCTTTAGCTGTGATTCCTGCATTGCCGGGGGTTGGACTGGATGACCCACAGGGTCCCTTCCAAACCTACAGTTCTATGATTCATTGGAGGTTTTCCAAAACTCCTTCAAACTACAACACTCCTCCCCAGGATGAAATAAATGGTGGCCATCAACTTGGAGGGCTTTTAAAGAGGATGAGACAAATTCATGGAGTCATGGTGGCTATGCTCTGCAGCCAGCGCTTCCGGACCCGAGGGGAGAGTTGCCCTTGTGTTCAAATCCCACTTGCTGCTTTCCCACGATGGGCATCTGACTGGCCACTGTGAGAACAAGAGGCTGGACCAGACCGGCCTGACCCAGACGGCTGTTCTGATGTTCTTAGATTAACTCAGGTTGGGCAGCCGCCTGCCTGTGATGATTTCTGCTGCGAATCCTGAATTTTATGGGGTTGAGCTAAATGACCCTCCCAGCTCTACAATTTTGCGTCTGTTGGTAATGAGCGCCATGAAATAAGTCCAGGCCACTTACTTCCTCTTGCCTTTGTCCTTCGGGGGGCTTTTTGAGATGTGGGCGAGGGCACCCGTCACCTTCTTGCCAGCTTTCTTCATTGCGCTCCTTCCCCGGGTCGCCCTGTCCACGTACTGAGGCCATAATGGGAGGGTGGGAGAGAGAGAGAACCAGAGAGGCTGCTGTGAATCCAAGGCAACCCCCATTTCCCCCGGCTGCCCCCCACCCGGTTCATTTATTTATAACAAATATCTGTATGCTGCTCTGTCATAAAAATGCACATCAAAGCCGTTTGCAGCAATCATAACGCAAAACCCTGCCAAAGTTACAAACAAGCACAGATTAACCATTCTTCAAATTATTATTTGCGGGCATTTAATTTTATGGTTTACTACTAGATTCAAATGAATTACTGAATATTGCTTTATTTAATATAAGTGGTTTAAAACAAATTAAATCACTTTAAAATATATTGTGACTTTTCATACTGGATCAGATTGTTAATGTTTAGTGCTTTATTATGTTTTTATATGTATTGGAAGCTGGGGTCTATATATTATTATTATTATTATTATTATTATTATTATTATTATTATCCCCACTTAGAGAGGAGGCTCACTGGCATAGTCACTGCCTCTCAGCCAAACCCTCACAGGGTTCTTGTGGGGATTAAATGAAAAGCAGGAAAACCATGTAATATCTGTTTTGCATTTGCAAGAACCTGATTTTTTTTAGTGTGGCAACTTTGGAACTCCGTGCCTATTGATAGCAAGCAGGTGCCTTCAATGCACCTTTCAGGCACCACTAAAAACAGCTTCTGTTTAGACCAACCCAGATGCCAAGAAGGTCGGCGTGAATTCTAGCCTGTTTCAGTAGAGGCAGTGACCATTTTAGGTGCGTCTGATATGTGCATGACTGCCCACACACACATCATGCTAAACCCTGAAGCGACCCAAAAATGTCACAAAAAGGGGCCGAATGGGCCAGTGGTGGAACAGGGAGTTTGCAGGTTTTTTCAGTGGTGTTTCAAATATACACTCTTTCACTTAAATGTATGTGAATGTAACCCCCACATAAATGGGGGTTTGCCTGTATTTTAACTTTCTGTACGTTTTAAAGTATTGTCGTAAATTTTTTCCGGGTTTATCTTTTTGTAACCTGCTTTTTGTAACCCACCCCTTACAATCAAGTGGTGTATAAATAGAATAGAATAGAATAGAATAGAATAGAATAGAATAGAATAGAATAGAATAGTGTTAGCAACCTTGAGCTCCTCAGAGAAAAGAAAGGGAGTGAAAACGCAAATGAAAGACATAAATAATGCATCGCCCAAAGACAGAAAATTCACGCGGAGAGCTTGGACAGCCCAATAAGGCAGCCAAACCTTCTGCAGCCCTGGGCCGGCATTTTTCCCTGAGTGACCTCTCCCTTCGACTTGCCCCAGCAGAGTGTTGGGAACGTTCCTAACCACCAGCCGCAGCAACTTTGCTCAGCTGCTGGCAATGGTGACCCCACATCCACCCACAGAATGCCTGGACACTCCCACATGGGGCCAGAGCAAGAACTGTGGGAATGTTCAGGGTGGCAGGGGAGGATATATTGCTTATTAATATCCTTCCTAACTTGCGCTAGAAAGTTCCTTTACTTAGCAGAGTTACATTCCCCTTTTTACATGCACAGCAGATAGCTAGTTGCAGGCTTGTGTAAGCCTCTCACTATTATACAATTCAGTCTGTCTCAGATTGAATTGTACGTTCCTGGTAAGTTCCCTTGAATCCCTCTTAAAAGAATAGAGACACCATAATCTGATTCAAAGTCAATAAAAGAAGTTTACTCACATCAGTTCACAGTTGGATCCCTGAAGGCAGACTTAGTTACAAATATGTACGTGTGGATCTACCCCATATGGGGGAATAATCCCAGTGCTTCTGCTAGCTGAGAGCTAGCAGAGCGGTTCTAGCTAAAAGCTGCTTAAATGAAGAAGGAAGTAAAAAAAAAGAGGGAGGTGTGCTACGTGACTTGTCCTTTTGTTACCTGGACAGGTTAGGTCACGCCCACCTTCTATCACATGCAAAAGGAAGGATGCTCCAGCCAGAAGGAACAGGAAGTTTCGACTGGCTGGACCAAACATCCCCTCGCATGTCTTCTCTAGCATTACAAGGAATGTTGTACAGTGGTACCTTGGGTTAAGTACTTGATTCGTTCCAGAGGTCCATTCTTAACCTGAAACTGTTCTTAACCTGAAGCACCACTGTAGCTAATGGGGCCTCCTGCTGCTGCCGCTCTGCCGGAGCACAATTTCTGTCCTCATCCTGAAGCAAAGTTCTTAACCCGAGGTACTATTTCTGGGTCAGTGGAGTCTGTAACCTGAAGTGTATGTAACCTGAAACGTATGTAACCCAAGGTACCACTGTACTTGAGTGCCTCTCATGGATCACATCCCACAAGAACCACCCCTCCAAGACCTCGGACCGCGTCCCTCCCTGTGCTGGAGTTTGCAAGAAGAGCAGCCCCCTTACCTCACCAGAGGAGCTGCTGGAGGGGCTGCTGCCGCTGGGGACCAAGCTGTGGCGGATGTGAATGTTGGGGTCCTTGGTGGTGATGGAGAGGCCCTTCTGCAGGATCTCGGCCAGGCGGCTCCACAGGGCGAAGACGGCAATGGGGTGCTCCTGGTGCAGCTGCAGGTAGTAGACCTTCCCCGTCACAGTCTGAACGCGCAGGATGCGCTGGGCTTCATCGTGGACGGACAGGCGGACGTAGCGCAGGGGGAGCAGCCTGGGGCAAAGCGGCGGAGGCGATCAGGATATGGTCGCTGCTGGGCAGGGGAGGCTCAGAAGCAGTGTGGTGCAGTGGTTAGGGTGCGGAATTAGGACATGAAGTGCCGTATTTACGTATAAGCTGAACAAGCCACAGCTTACGACCCCACTCTCTTGGGGGCCCCCCAAAAAATTAAACAGAAAAAAAACCTGGGTGTACATTTCCAAAATAGAAGATAAAAAACTAATAAAATAAAACCTACATACAACAGTGTCTTGTGTTGTGTAGGCTCCTAGGATGTAAGTCATGGGCCCCGCCTGCTCCCTAAAATATTCCTTGGTTTTCTCCTGCTCTGCCTCTCTGCCTAAGCTACCTCACTATTGAGTGATATAAAAGGTAAAGTAACGGGACCCCTGACCATTAGGTCCAGTCGTGGCCGACTCTGGGGTTGCGGCGCTCATCTCGCTTTACTGGCTGAGGGAGCCGGTGTACAGCTTCCGGTTCATATGGCCAGCATAACTAAGCTGCTTCTGGCGAACCAGAGCAGCGCACGGAAATGCCGTTTACCTTCCCCTCTGCAGCAGTACCTAGTTATCTACTTGCACTTTGACGTGCTTTCGGACAGCTAGGTTGGCAGGAGCAGGGACCGAGCAATGGGAGCTCACCCCGTTGTGGGGATTCGAACCACTGACCTTCTGATCGGCAGGTCCTAGGCTCTGTGGTTTAACCCACAGTGCCACCCGCATCCCATTAGATAGCTATTAGGTCCATCAATTGCCATATAGCATATATTCAACACAAAAACAGTGACCATTTGTTGTTGACAAAGGACAGCTGGACATATCAAGGGCCCCATTACCTTCAGTAGCTACGGGCCTAAATCCGGCCCTGAGAACACGGAAGAGACCAGGTTTCGAATCCCCCCTCAGTTGTGAAGCTCACCTCGGGCCAGACTCTGCCTCTCTGCCTAAGCTACCTCACTATTGAGTGTTATAGAATGCAATACATGCAACCTTTTTCAGCCATCCCTTTTGAAGGGGGGGGATAATGAACGAATTCCTATGCCCCACAAATAACCCAGAGATGCATTTTATATAAAAGGGTACATTCTACTCATGTAAAAACACGCTGATTCCCAGACCATCCACAGGCCAGATTGAGAAGGTGATTAGGCCGTATCTGGCCCTGGGCCTTAGGTTGCCTACCCCTGTGCTGGACTACAGTGGTACCTCGGGTTAAGTACTTAATCCGTTCCGGAGGTCCGTTCTTAACCTGAAACTGTTCTTAACCTGAAGCACCACTTTAGCTAATGGAGCCTCCCGCTGCTGCTGCACCACCGGAGCACGATTTCTGTTCTCATCCTGAAGCAAAGTTCTTAACCTGAGGTACTATTTCTGGGTGAGCGGAGTCTGTAACCTGAAGCGTCTGTAACCTGAAGTGTCTGTAACCCGAGGTACCACTGTATACCAACAGATCCCTTTTCTGCACTTTACCTGGTCAGCTCTAGAGGGGGACGCCTTAAAGCCTTGCTGTGGCTCCTCCGGATCGGGACCCTGTGGCGCCCCATCAACAAGACGTTGGGGAGCGGCAGGCAGGGGTCCGAGGAAGTCACTCCCATGGTCACGATGGTGGGCGAATTCGTGATGTCCACCCATTTCCCTTTCTTGGTCACCTGTCAAATAAAAGCAAGCACCCCCGGCCCAGACCAGGCTCAAATCACAAGTGGAAGGGGACACCCCAGGGGCCATCTAGTCCAACCCCCTGCAATGCAGGAATCTCAGCTGAAGCATCCCTGGCAGGTGGCCATCTGAACTGAAAAACCACCCGGGGGGGGGAAGGGGAGCTACCTGGATGAAGTTGCTCTCAAAGACCGCCGAGTTGGGGAACAGGTTGTAATCCGGGGAGCGGACCAGCTGGCACAGTAAGCCCCCTTCCAGGCCCAGCTCCTCCCCAGCACTGTGCTTGCGAGCCAAGGCCCCTCTAGACATGGGCACTCAGGGGGTGAGCATGCCTCGGGGGGGGCCTCCGTTGCCACTCTCGGCCCTCCCTGGCCCAGCCAGCCAAGCCAGCCAGCAGCAGCCGGGCTCCTCTGCTGCCCCAGCATCAGCGATGACACCCTGCAGAGGGGCGGGGCTACCTGGCTGAAGCTGTGATGTCACATTGGCCAGCAAGGGGGGGCTGTTCCTGGGAGGGGGGAGTTGCTGCCCAGCAGAGGCATCAGCAATACCGCCGGGTGTGTGTGTGTGTGTGAATTTCTGTTCCTTTTTGCCCTTCTGGAAGTAAGCTTCTGGGTAGCACAGAATGCTTCTTCCATCATAAACATTCACAGGGGTTTTCCATACCTGTCCTCTGGGGGGGGAGGAGGAGCACCTCAGCTGATTTCTTCTTAAGGCATCTTTTGAAATCAGTCACCCTTCCTTCAAAAAACCAAAAGCCCTTTCCAGCAAGTGGGGCATAGCTGACAACGTTTCCCTTTTTAAAAGGGAAATGCCCTTATTCCGAATAGGATTCCTCGCAAGAAAAGGGAAAAGTTGACAGTTATGAAGTAGGGGGTGACAGGGGGAGCTTTTTCAAGCACCCCATTTCCCTGCTCCCAAAAAATTCCCTCCCCACAAATAAAGAGCTCGTATTTTGAGTTTTATACATATTTATTTAAAAAGAGTTGCCATTTATTGAAGGAATCACGAACGTTCCCTTTCAGGAGAGGCCAGCTCAACAGGCTTAAAATGTCTATCCTTCTTTCTTCAGAGAGGGAGGCGCAGTGAAGAATTTAGAATACAGCCTTCTACTTTTCCAGCAAGATCCAGGAGGTGGTTTGCACCACAAAAAAGGCACCCCTGAACCACCCACCCCAAGGCTAGAATTTCCCCAAGTCTCTCCTTAAAAATACTTTTAGCTGTTTCCATTGGCTCTTAGCAGCCGCCACCAGGGGGCATGCGAGAGCCCTTCCTTTGCAGCTGCCTTTGCTCCTTCCAGACCAAATAGCATCCTTTTTGGGGTGTCTTCCTAAACTACAGATATTAAAAGCACAGGGATTTTGTTTGAAGCACCTCAAGGAGGGCAGGGGAGCCTGGCAACACAGGGGCAGGTCTCTTTCTCTTCTCCAGCGCCTCCTGCCCTCCCCTGGGGTTGCCTTGCCCACAGCTGCCCTCCCTTGCAATTAGGGACCCCCTGAGCCTCCTCCCGCAATATAATAATAATAATAAATGATCCACAGTCCAGCAGGCCTCTTCCACCAACTGCTGCTTGCAGGTGGGCTGGCGACAGCATGGCTAAACCTTGGGGTAAGCAGACATATTCCTAGCAGACTTTCACAGGATGAGAACACAGATCCATTATTGCGGCGAAGAACAGGGGGAAATGTTTCTATGAAGGGAGCCCAGAATTTTGCTTGGGGTGCCCAATCCTGCACCCCAATTTCGCCACTGGGCACACCTTTTCTGTGTGTGTAGCCAAGAGTCTAGAGCTCATTGATCCTGACGCAGCCCAGTTTGTTGAGAAGCAAGGCCTTCTGCGTTCGGAAAAGGCTATGAAGCGGAAGAAGTCAGCCATATTCTTGGCCCCAAGTCACTAGTCCTCAGTGTTCTTCTCCATGTCCCGCAGCAGAAGATCAACAGGCGTCCCTTTTGCAGAGTCTGGGCTTGCTGTGGGGCTGAGGGCAACATCTCCATATCGATCCACAGGGGTTCCAACACCTGCCCCAGAAGTCTCCCAATTAACAGGGTGCAAAGGCTCCCCCAGGCCAGCTGGGCTTCTGCTGCCAGCCCCCTCTTTTGCCAGGGCAGGTTGGCAAAGGCACATACAATCCCAGCCCCATCCACGTTAAGTCCATCCCTCAAAAAAACCCCCACATAATCCGTGTCATTTTGGTTTGCCGCCAGCGAAGCCCCTTGGCTCATGCATAGGGGCCAATCTCTTTGCTTGTCCTGAGCTTGTGGTCCCCCGAGAGGCCTGGGGGGGCTCCGTCCGCAAGGCTGCTGCCCTCCGATTCTACCCACCGGCTGGGGAGGCAGGGGTCCAGCCCATGGGGGGGCATCAGGTCTCCCAGGAAGCCCATCAGCCCAAAGAGCAGAGACAGCAGAGAGAGTACCAGGCCCAGGAGGTAGATCTTCACCACCCACTGCATGGTGATGGCAGGCACAGATCCGGGAATTGCTCCTGAGAAGAACAGAACAGACCCTTGAGTGGCTGCAACTCACACCTCTGATTTTGGCCACAGAGGCCCCACCCTCCCCCTATTATCTATTTCCTGCACTTAAATCTCAACTTTTCCTCCAAACTCAAGGTACCTTACATGGTTCTCCTCCCTGAAGCCCAGAACAACCCTGTGAGGTAGGGTCAGGCTGAGAGAGGGCAGTGGATGACACACACCCCCCCCAAGATCACCAAAAGAGCTTCTCATACCCTTGGCTTCCATTGGTGAAAGCCACCTGGGTGTTTTTCTCCCTAAGAGATCTTTATATCTTGTCCAAACATTATATAGAGATTTTCTAATTATATGATTTTTAAAACCTTTGTGAGCCTTTATCTTGTCGTACCACAAGTATGCATGCCAACCAAATACGTTGTCAAATCCAGCACATCAACATTGTCTAATTGAATCCATTCTTTTATCCAGCAGAAAGCTCCAGCTTCAAAATATATCTTCAGGTCTGGCAGGGAGAATCTCCCTAATTCTTTAGTGTCCGTTAGTAACTTATATTTAATTCTGGGGTTTTTCCCCTGCCAGATAAATTTAGACAATGCTTTCTGCCATTCTTTTAAACACTTAACATTATCAATAATTGGTATGGCTTGAAATAGAAACAACATATTTGGCAATGGGGGTGGCATTTGAAGCCTGCTCTCTCCCACGTACCTGATATAATAATAATAATAATAATAATAATAATAATAATAATTTATACCCCGCCCTCGCCAGCCAGAGCCAGGCTCAGGGCTGCTAACATCAGTAAAATTACAGTAAAAACATAATGGGGGTGGGGGGGACTCAATTTAAAATACAGATTAAAATGCAATTTAAAATGCAGCCTCATTTTAAAAGTAGCCCATAGATCAAAACCATAAAGGGAGGGAAACATAACGGTCAGACTGAGTCCAAACTCTGCAATTTCAATTTGTCTCCTTCTTGTTCCAAAATTTCCCAATATTTCGGCCATTTGGCCTCCATATTGAGCCTTTTCTGAGCCTTTGCTTCCATCGGTGACAACCACCTTGGGGTTTTGTTTTCAAATAAGTCCTTATATCTTATCCAGACATTAAACAATGCTTTCCTGACAATGTGGTTTTTAAATGCTTTATGTGCTTTAACCTTGTCATACCACAAATATGCATGCCACCCAAAAACATTATTAAAACCTTCTAAATCCAAAATGTCTGTGTTCTCAAGAAGCAGCCATTCTTTCAACCAGCAGAATGCTGCTGATTCATAATAAAGTTTAAGGTCTGGCAGGGCAAATCCACCTCTACCCTTTGCGTCAGTTAATATTTTAAATTTTATTCTGGGCTTCTTGCCCTGCCAGACAAATCTAGAAATGTCTCTCTGCCACTTCTTGAAACAGTCCATTTTGTCTAAGATTTGCAATGATTGAAACAGAAATAACATTCTTGGCAATACATTCATCTTTATAACAGCAATTCGACCTAACAAGGAAAGCTTCAAGTTTGACCATATCTCCAGATCCTTTTTCACTTCTGACCAACATTTCTCATAATTGTCTTTAAATAGGTTTAAATTCTTAGCGGTCATATTTACCCCCAAGTATTTTACTTTCTTAACCAGTGTTAAACCTGTCTCCTTCTGAAACCTCTCTTTCTCAATCGGTGTTAAATTTTTCTCAAGCACCTTAGTTTTTAACTTGTTCAACTTAAATCCTGCCACATGACCAAATTCCTGAATCAATTCTAATACTCTTTTAGTACTAGATTCTGGCTCCTGTAACGTCAATACTAAATCATCTGCAAAAGCTTTCAATTTGTACTATTTAGCTCCGACCTGTATACCTTTAATCAGATGGTCCCTTCTGATCATACAGTGGTGCCTCGCAAGACAAAAAGAATCCGTTCCGCGAGTCTCTTCGTCTTGCGGGTTTTTTCGTCTTGCGAAGCAAGCCCATTAGCAGTTTAGCGGATTAGTGCTACAGTATTAGCGGCTTAGCAGGCTTAGTGGATCAGCTGATAAGCGGCTTAACGATAAGCTGATAAGCGGCTTAAGGATCAGCTGATAAGCGGATTAACGATAAGCTGATAAGCGGCTTAACGATCAGCTGATAAGCGGCTTACCATCAGCTGTTAAGCAGCTTAGCCATCAGCTGATAAGCGGTTTAGCGGCTTGGGAAAAAGGGAAAAAGGAAAAAAACCCTGCAGGAACTCTCAAGACATTTTCGTCTTGCGAAGCAAGCACATAGGAAATTCGTTTTGCGAAGCACCTCCAAAACGGAAAACCCTTTCGTCTAGCGGGTTTTCCGTCTTGCGAGGCATTCGTCTTGCGGGGCACCACTGTATTTAGCAGAACCTCCAGGACCGAAATAAAAAGTAATGGGGAAATTGGGCAGCCTTGTCGTGTCCTGGCAGACAAAATTAATGGACTATGCAGAATAAAATGACAGGAAGGATTCAAAACCTGCGGGACCAGAGATTTACAGAAGATTGGAAGAAATATACGGACTATTTGAAGAGCAACTGTAATCAACAAATTCCGCTAGTAGGACTACAAGAAGTTTTGTAAGGAGAAATGTATGAAGCATTGCAAAGTAGAGAAAGAATAGAGATGTTGGTTATGAGTTAAATGTAATTGTGGAAGTAAGAAAGGTATATTTAGTGAATAGATTAGAAATTTTTCAGATGTGACTGATAGAAGTCAAAAAAGCTGGTATAAGATATGAAAATATGTTTAATTACTGTTGAAAATGATATGTCAGAAAACTAATAAGTATTTTATATATAAAAAGATAGATGCTGACAATGCCTCAGCAATGCTAGGAGTTGAAAGGGACCTCCAAGGGTCATCCAGTCCAACCCCCTGCAATGCAGGAATCTCAGCTACAGAATCTGCTCTGAAACTACGTGGGACTGTGCAGATGGCCCCAGTGGGGCTCAGACCCTCCCTGGCTCTCTTTCCCCACTCCTCCACGTGCCTCAGTTTCCCCAAGAGCAGGCTCCGACTGGCCTACGCAGCTGCCACCAGCCGCCGCCTCTGGCGAAAGGGAGCCCCACTCTGCACATAGGAGGACCCCCAAAGAGAGCCAGAGGGCAGCCTGCGAGGCCCACTTTCTAGAAGCAGGGCTGGGACTGCCACTTAGCCATCAGGGCAATAGCAAGAAACTGGGGCCAAGCTGCCTCTCTCAGGCTCACCTTCCTCGCAGGGTTGCGGTGGGGATTCAATGAAGACTAAGACCAGGGTTCAAATCCCGCCCAGCCAAGTTCAGCCATAAGCTCACTGGACGGGAACTTGAAGGCCAGTGCCTTACTGTCTCCGCCTACCCTACTTTGCAGGGTTCTTGGGAATTAAAGGAGACGGGAGGGGAACCATGTAAGCCCTACCTGGAGCTCCTCGGAGGAAAGGGTGGGATAGAAGACCAATAAATAAAATGACTTTGAAAGGCACGAAGGAACGGGAGGCACTCTGCACGCGCTCCGGAACGCATGACTCCTGTTGCAAGCGCTTCAACTAGCAAGTCTCCCAGATATAGCAATTAAAGCGGAGCAGGAGGAGCAGATTTAAGCCCATACACCCCCCAAAATGTTGAAGTAGGCAAGCAGGAACTGGAAGGCGAACGTCCCTGCCTGGACCGAAAAACAACCCATGTTACTAAACCAGGCTACCCCGGAGCATGTGCAGAGTCCCTCTGAGCTGACGGTTCGCCCCGGATCCCGTCGGACCGCGGGTGTTTAGTCGTGCGTGTGTCGTGGGGGGGGGGGGCGGGGTGAGGAACGACTGTCCTCCGACCCGGGCTCCGTCTGGGAGGGCGCGGACGACCCTGCAGGGTTTCCCAGGTGCCCGGGGCGCCATTCCCAGCCCGCCCCGTTGGCGATGGGCCCGGGACCCTTCGACGGGCAGAGGCTCCCCTACCCCCGACCCATGGCGTCCCTTCTTCCCAGTGGGGGGGAAGAGGCGAGGAGCCCTCGAGGCTCAGTGCAGCCCCGACCCCTCTTCCCCGGACGACCCCAACCGATGGACGGGTGGGGGAACAACTTACCGGATCTCCTTCTCTTCCTCTCCCGGTAGCGGCGACGCGCAGCCCGTCCGCCGGCCACGCGTCCTCCTCTTATGGCTCCTCCGACGGGGCGGCGCTGACCCCGCCCCGCCCGGAAGGGAAGCTTTGTTGGACGGGGCGGCCGTGGGGACTGGCGTCGCGGGGCCGATCCAGGGTCTCGGAGCGCATCGCCCGGCCCCTCCCCTCCTGACAGCTCGGGGGCGGGGAGGGAGCGTGGGGAGGGGCTCCCTGCTGCCTTTGCACGACTCCCCCTCCCCCCCCCGACGGCTGTACACGCCTTGCACGTGCCACACGCCCGGGCTGTGCAGAAGCCGCCCTCTCCGCCCCCCCCCCCCAGCCCCTGCAGTGACCTCTCACCCACTGGGCTGTTGGCCAGAGAAGGGGGGGCTAGCCCCGTCTGACACGCCGCCTCCCCCCCCCCCCGCGCGTCCCGCCAGCTCCGAAGATGCCTCGTGCCTCGACTTCTGCACCGCTTGCTCTGCTTTTTGGCTCTCCCTCCGAAGGGAGGCGCGCTACCCCCCAATTGGACCCCGCGCTCAAGCACCCAGTTTTGATGGGGAGGGGCAGCGGCCGTGGAAAAGACAAATCCCCTAGCGGGATCGCTAGGAAAAGAACTGGAAACGAAAGGGCCATTATCGTCCTGCGTTGAAGGGGGCTGGACTAAATGACCCCGGGGTACCTCACGACTCAACGACCCTGTGTTTCCTAAGGCCACTCTATGAATGTTTGGTGCGACCAGATTTGGAAGGCTGCGTAAAGTTCTGGTCTCCTCGCCTCATAAAGGGTATTGATATAAGCTTATGAAAAGTGTGTCTGGCATGGAGAAAGCGGATGGAGGAGAGCTTTTCTCCCTCTCTCGGGGAGGACAGTCCGTCTTCGCCTAGCGCAGAGTGAACCTGCGGAACTCCCTGCCAGAGGAGGCAGGGACCGGCACCAACCTGGATGGCTTTAAAAGAAGATTGGAGAAATTCCTGGAGGAGGAAAGAGGTTTGGGTGGCGCCTGGGCAGGGTGGCTGTGCCTTATTATTATTATTATTATTATTATTATTATTATTAATACCCTACCCGTCTGGCTGGGCTTCCCCAGCCACTCTGGGCAGCTTCCAACAAAATATTAAAATACCGTAATGCATCAAACATTAAAAGCTTCCCTAAACAGGGCTGCCTTCAGGTGTCTTCTAAAAGTCTGGTAGCTGTTTTTCTCTTTGACATCTGGTGGGAGGGTGTTCCACAGGGTGGGCGCCCTCTGCCAGGCCCTCTGCCTGGTTCTCTGTAGCTTGGCTTCTCGCAGGGAGGGAACCGCCAGAAGGTCCTCGGCGCTGGACCTCAGCGTCCCGGCAGAACAATGGGGGTGGAGACGCTCCTTCAGGTATGCAGGGCCGAGGCCATTTAGGAACCCCTCGCAAGCAGGACCTGAACTCCCCTCTTGTGCTTTCCCCACCCCCACCCCCCAGCTTCCTCTTCTTTCAACCAACAAACAGGAAAGACTCAGCCCTCCCGCCCCTTGGCCTTGTGCTCCCTCCCTCCTCCTTCCTGGGCGTCCAGTTGCCCTTTCACCTACTTAGACCCCTGGGCTTCCACTCATCCTTGTGAAGAGTGAGCATGCGCCCCCAGGCACACACTGCGGAAGGGCAGGGATGATTTAAATCCCCAGCCAAATTCGCGTAGGGGCCAGGTTCTCCATGGGCAGCACTTGGCACAGGTACCAGTCTCCTTCATTCCTCATAGATTCAGAGAATGGTAGGGTTGCAAGGGAACCCTGTTGCAGGAATTTGTGTATAGGTTGGGGGTGTTCCCTCCAGTAGAGATCATGCACATGCAGCCCACTACCAGAATCAGCACCATCACTTTTGTGACTTTTGTGATTTGTCCCCAAAACACTTCATCACAGTTTCTTCCTATCTATTCAAAGGGCCTCTGCTGCACAATACCAAATGTAAGAATTCACTGATAGATGTATCTATGCACTGGCTCACTGGGAAAACTTCAGAAGTTCATATAGAGATGTGAGCTCAGCTCCTCAGCAGCCCCTCTGCCTGAGGGATAATCCCTGGCATCCTGATACCTGAGTGCCAGACAGGTAGCCATTCCAGAAGTAACAAACCCATGAAGACAAAAGGGTGTGATTAACTTGGCTGGGACTGGGAAACAGGGAAATGTAAATATCTCTTTTGTTACACTTGATGGGTGTTTGGTGGAGGGCAAGGGGAACCATGGGGCAGGGTCCAGGGTGCTCAGATTACTGCCACCAGACCTCCCCTTTCATGATGTATTAGTGATGTAGTTTGGGGGGGGTGTAACCTGGGGATTAGCGGCTAATAAAAGTTTGGGTTCTCTTTTGTTCAGGGCTTCCATCTTGTTCCACCTTGTGGCAGGTGGGAGTCCTGTCGCAACAGTCTTCAACAAAGACCAAGCCTACTGGCTGCTGTTTTGCTCTGGTATTCCTGGCTGGTGTCCTTGTTTTTTGTCCAAGGGAGCCCTCAGATTTCTCCGTTAACACCCCAAGGGTCTTCTAGTCCAGCCTCCTGCAATGCAGGAATTTCAGCTAAGAAAACCCTAACAGATGGCCATCCAACCTCTACCTAAATGTCTCCAAGGAAGGAGATGCCAGCACCTTCTAAGGAGGTGTTTCCTTCACTGGAGGTTTTTTTATTTAAATTATTGTTGTTATTATTTCATTTCTACATTATAGGAATTCTAAGGTCATATATATATTAAATAAATCTTCATAAATATACAAGGCAAACACGTACAAAAGTATATAAACCACGTCTCTGAAATAGTACAGGAGAACAATCCTGAAGCCATTTTTGACTCTCCCAAATTCACCTCAAATATTTCTCTGCAAGGAGGAAGGAGATGGGGAAAGCTTTCCAATTGTCTTTGGACTGTAGGGGCTGCTTACACCTCCCTGTGAATACAGTCTGGCAAGTATCTGTTAAGCTGAGCACACTATCAATGTGCGTAAGAGATTCAAGAAATAAGTATTTACCATCTTCAAGGAATGGCCAGGCTACCCAGAAAAGGCAATCAGATAATAATAAGGCAAGTATCCTGGCAGACAGGAGAGAAGCAACACACTCAAATTTCTGCTGGGGACCACCTCATTCTGTGATGCATGTATGATGTTGGGGGGGGGGGGGGTCTTGAGCTACAGGGGAGGCAATTTTGAAAGTCTATATAAGGGCTTGTGAACCAATGTTCTGGGTTCCTCCTTTCCCTGCCTGTATGGGGTGAGCGGGGGACCCTGTTGCAACACTTTAATAAAGATCAAGTTTACTAGCTGCTTTGTTTCTCAGTATTTTCTGGTTGGCCTCTGTTATTTTCTCCTACCAATAGAGCACCTACATAAGGACTCTATACAGGCTCTTAGGTACCCCATAAGGGGATAAAGGAGCAGTTTTCTCTTATAACATCTACAGTGGTACCTTGGGTTAGATATGCTTCAGGTTACATACAGACTCCGCTAACCCAGAAATATTACCTCGGGTTAAAAACTTTGCTTCAGGATGAGAACAGAAATCATGCGGTGGCAGCAGGAGGCCCCATTAGCTAAAGTGGTGCTTCAGGTTAAGAACAGTTTCAGGTTAAGAACGGACCTCTGGAACGAATTAAGTACTTAACCCGAGGTACCACTGTATACCACTTTATGTTTTTAAGACAAAACCATTGAGAGTAAAGCAGTCGTGAAGAAAGTCAAACGCAAAGTATGCATTTAAATCAGGCACAGGCAAACTTGGCCCTCCAGCTGTTTTGAGACTACAATTCCCATCATCCCTGACCACTGGTCCTGTTAGCTAGGGATCATGGTAGCTGTAGTCCCAAAACATCTGGAGGGCCGAGTCTGCCTGTGCCTGATTTAAAGTAACATAGTTAACAGGAAACTAAAATGTTGTCTTAAAAAATTTGAACATAAAATATTACAAAGGAGGCCAACTACGGAACGCAGCTAATATAACAATGAAAAACCTTCTCTTAAACATTTCAAAACAAAGCATTGCTAAAGGTAGTCAAATATAAAATGCGCATTTGAAACTGCATAATTAGCAAGAGACTAAATAGTGTTTTAAGTATAAAACATATCTGCTGCTTTTGCTGCCAGTCCTGCCAATGGTGGTTCAAGCCCCAAAACCTCGCTGGTTGACCTTGAGGGCCAGTCGCTTCCCCTCAGCCTAACCTACCGTATTTTTCGCCCTATAGGATGCACCGTCCCATAAGGCGCACCTAGTTTTTTGGGGGGAAAATAAAGGGGAAAAAAATATTTTCCCCCCAGGCGCGGGGCTGGGGCGGGGGAAGCCCAAGCTTCCCCCGACCCCAGCCCCCACACAGGCAGCTCTCTGCAAGCCGTGGGAGCCCAGCGCTGGCTCCCGCTGCTTGCGGAGAGGTCCGCGAAGCCTGGAGAGCGAGAGGGGTTGGTGCGCACCGACCCCCCTCGCTCTCCAGTCTTCAGCGAAAGCCTGCATTCGCCCCATAGGACGCACACACATTTCCCCTTCATTTTTGGAGGGGAAAAAGTGCGTCCTATAGGGCGAAAAATACGGTACTTTTACAGGGTTTTTGTTTGGATTAAATGAGGAGCGACAATGGGGAAGCAAATACACTACCTCAAGCACCCCAGAGAAAAGGGTGGCATAGGTACACAAAAGATAAATAATAATCAATAATACTGGCCACAATGGCTAGGCCGTCCCTCCACCATCTGGATAATCTCACCTCTGAATCATGCCAATCACCCGGAATCACAGGTGGGGAGAGCGTTGGTGGGGGTGGGGTCGTACTTGGGTCTTGCTGGTGGGCATCTGGCTGACCACTGTGACTAGATTGGTCCCCTTGGGCTGAATCCGGCAGGCTCTTCTTATGCCCTTAAAAAGGTAAAGGTAAAGGACCCCTGACAGTTAAGTCCTGTCGCGAATGACTCTGGGGTTGCGGCGCTCATCTCGCTTTATTGGCCGAGGGAGCTGGCCCTTGTCCGCAGACAGTTTTTCCAGGTCATGTGGCCAGCATAACGAAACCAGAGCAGTGCACAGAAATACCATTTACCTTCCTGCCAGAGTGGTACCTATTTATCTACTTGTACTTTGATGTGCTTTCAAACTGCTAGGTTGGCAGGAGCTGGGACCGAGCAACGGGAGCTCACCCCGTCGCAGGGATTCGAACCAGCCTTCTGATCGGCAAGCCCAAGAGGCTCCGTAGTTTAGACCACAGCGCCACCCATGTCCTCTTATGCCCTTAGGTCCTTGCATTTGATCACAATGGCTGAATAATCTGTGGCTGGGAACACCTTGCTTGCCGCAGCCAGGAATCGCACAAAATGTTGGTCTTGGTACAAAGCGCTTAAGGTCCTGCGCATTTGTAAACATAGCCACTGGCGAGGCCTCCTGGTTCCTCAGATTTCCAACTGGCAAGACAACAACCCTCTGCATTCTCTGGGCTGACCTGAGCAAGGGCAGAGAAAGAACCTGAGGGATGAGGCGGGACCCCAAAGGCAGCCAGAGCCCTGAGGCTTTCTGTCACCTTTCACCCAGAAAACCGGTTCAGGGCATCCAGCATTCCTTTGGGCTCGGAGCACACATAGCAAGCGGCTGCCAGCTTGCTTTGTGCCTGGGAAGAATGGGGCAGAGGGGAGCCTGCAAAGAGCAAAATGGCCCCGGGCACATTTGGAAGAACTTGATTTTCTGGCAGCACTTTGGAACTCCCTCCCTATTGATATCAGGCAGGTGTCTTCCCTGTGTTTTCACACCCAGACTTGCCGCTTTCCCCCGCTGGCAGAGTTCCCCTGGTGTCAAAATTCAGGAGGCAATTACTCCTGATTGAAACACAGTTAGGGCTGCCCCATGGAAGAGGGAGCAAGCTTGTTTTCTCCTGTTCTGGAGGGCAGGACTTAAGAACCAGTGGCTTCAAGGTACAAGAAAGGAGATTCCGACTCAACATACGGAAGAACTTTCTGGTGGTGAGAGCTGTTCAACAGTGGAACAGTCTCCCTTGGGAGATGGTGGACTCCCCTTCCTTGGAGGTTTTTAAGTAGAGGTTTGATGGCCTCTGTCATTGTTACCGGAAAAATCTGAGGGCTCCCTTGGACAAAACAAAGACACCAACCAGGATAACTTGGAGCAAAACAGCAGCCTGTAGGCTTGGCCTTTATTGAACTGTTGCAACAGGGTGTTCCCCTCACTTGCAGGAGAGAGGAAAGACACAGAAAATGGTGTGCAAGACCTTATAAAAACTTTTGAAATTCCCATCCTCTAGGTCAAGCCCACCCCCAGAAACATCATGCATACATTACAGAAAGGAGGGGTTGAGGGAGGAGTTGTGGTGGTAACCTGAGTGTCCTGTCACCTGGCTGGTTCCCTTCTCCTCCTCCCCATGAGTCACTTCCAGGAGACAAAGGGGAGTTGGCAGTTTCCTGCCCCCTGAGGGTAGATCTGATCATTGTCCTTTGTTCCAGTCCATGCTGAATCCACTCCCATATGGAACTTCTTTGTGATCTTGATGGTCTTCTGTCTGGGATCATCAGGGTTGGCATAGCAACTGGGCAGGGCTCCTGTGGATGTGCTGGGATGATGAAGGGATTATGGTGCCCTGTATCAAACCTTCCCCATTTTGTAGTCTTTCCTTCATGGAGTAAAATAAAAGTGGAACAGTGCAAATCCGATGTATGGTTGATTTTTCTATGAATTTATAACAGAAGCGTGGCATATGTAGTGTGTGAGTGTGAGTGTGTGTGAAGTTTGTACAAACTGAATGATTGGGGTGGGGGGTTCCTGCTACATCATGAATTCTTGAGCTGAACATGACATACAATAAGCATAACATACAACAATACAAACAACCAAATAAAAGACTTCCTTTATCCTGTCTCTGGCCTCCTTATTTACTTCTTATAAGCTGTTCTTATGTTCACGTTTAATGAGGGTGGATTTCTGTATTACGGGCATGGGGGGTTATGTTATGTTGTAAATATAATTTCTAATAAAAAATTTAAAAAGAATTATTGAGCTGAGATTTCTGCATTGCAGGGGGGTTGGACTAGATGACCCAACTATGGGGTCCCAACTATGATTCTATGACTCTCTCTCTCTCTCTGTGTGTGTGTGTGTGTGTGTGTGTGAGAGAGAGAGAGAGAGAGAGAGAGAGAGAGAGAGAGAGATTGTCTTAAAAGTAAAGGTAAATGGATCCCTGACCATTAGGTCCAGTTGTGGCCGACTCTGGGGTTGTGGAGCTCATCTCGCTTTATTGGCCAAGGGAGCCGGCGTACAGCTTCCGGGTCATGTGGCCAGCATGACTAAGCCGCTTCTGGAGAACCAGAGCAGCACACAGAAATGCTGTTTACCTTCCTGCCGGAGAGGTACCTATTTATCTACTTGCACTTTGACGTGCTTTTGAACTGCTAGGTTGGCAGGAGCAGGGACCGAGCAATGGGAGCTCACCCCATTGCGGGGATTCAAACCACAGACCTTCTGATTGGCAAGTCCTAGGCTCTGTGGTTTAGACCACAGCACCACCCGCATCCCTAGAGATTGTCTTACAAGTCTCATAATATCAGGATTCAAGCAATGCCTGAGGTTGTGGGGTGTCAGGCAGTTTCTGCACTGTGGAACCCAACCACATGGCTGATGCTGTGGCCAATGTTGTCCCTGGGCTCTGATCCACTCAGCAAGCAAATGTAGGCAAGGGTCGAGGGGCAACTGAGTCCAGGGCTTGCACTTCCACACCAGACCAGCCTCTTCCCCTTGATTTCAAAATCGCGGTGACAAGTCTGGAACAAGCTTTTGTTGGCAGCACTGAATGTACCAGCCCAGGGAGAGACATTGTGAGCAGGTGGCAGCCATGGCCTCATTCTCACTGCAGAGGTGAACTTGGGTCTGGCTGGGGCAGGTGGCAGATTGACCCTGTGGGATGCTGTTCTGCAACACACACAATGACTTGTGCTTGGGGAGAAAGCAAAGCTAGAATCTGGAGTCGGTTGTTGCCAGCAACCTAGATGGCTTTCTAATAATAATAATAATAATAAATTTTTGCACACTGCCCATCTGGCTGGTTATTCCTTCTGGCAAACTGCCTGGTGTGCGCTGGATCACCAGTCCTTCCTCACTCCCAGAATTTGGGTAACCAAACATCCCTTCGAGCTTCGCCATCTGCTGTAAACAAAAATCTGCCCTTTTCCCCTTGTGGGGTATCCAAGAGCCCATATAGAGTCCTTTTGTGGGTTCTCTATCGGTAGGAGAAAATAACAGAGGCCAACCAGAGAATATTGAGAAGCAAAGCAGCTAGTAAGCCTGATCTTTGATAGATCTGTTGCAACAGGGTCCTCACTCACCACACGCAGGAGCGAGGAGGAACCCAGAACAATGGCGCGCAAGGCCTAATATAGACTTTTGAAATTGCCACCCTGCAGTCCTAGACCATGCTCAGAAACATCATACATACATCACAGAAGGGGTGTAACCTAAGACCACCCCCCAGATACATCATACCTACATCACAGAAAAGGTGGTCTCAGTGGCGTAGCGTGGGGGGTGCAGGGGGGCCGGCCGCACCGGGCGCAACATCTGGGGGGGCGCGCTTGCACTTGCAGCTCTCTGCTCGAGTGCTAAAATCCACGGGTTAGGGGGCGCAAATTACTTGCCTTGCCCCAGGTGCTGACAACCCACGCTACGCCACTGGGTGGTCTAAAACAGAAATTTGAATGTTGTTTTTCTCCTGTTGTTGTTTATCTCCTGTCTGGCAGGTTACTTGATTGGATACCCTGGGTAGCCTGGCCAGTCTTTTGTAATGATAAATACTTAGTTCCTGAGCCAGGTCACAGGCTCACACCCCATTCATATCTTAAATGTGCCCTTAAGACAAGATTTGTGAAGGAAAAGACAATGGGGAGGCTTTTCCATTTTCCTTTGACCTTGCAGAGAAAACATTTGCTCAGTTTGGGAATCAAAACAGTTTCAGGTCGGTCTTCCTGTGCTATGTACGTGCTTGGTTGGTACACTTATGAACATTTAACATATATATAAGACCTCGAAATTCCTATCACAGCAGCTTCCAACAGAATATAGAAAAAGACAACAGAACATGCTCTACAAACTGAGCTATAAAAGCTTCCTGGTATGGGGATGCCTTCAGATCTCTATGGAAGGCCATATAATTATTTATCTCTTTGACATCTGACGGGAAGGCATTCCATGGGGGGGGGGCACTACTGAGAAGGTCTTTTGCCTGCAGTTAGACAAATTCATGGAGAAGAAGTCTTTCTGTGGCTCCTAGCCAGGATTGCTCTTCTCTGCCTCCACTATTTGAGGCGATAGATGTTTTCTGAAGACCAGTTGTGGAAATCACCAAAGGGGAGGGCAGGGCTCTTGTGCTCAGATCCTGCTCAAGGGCTTCACATCTGGTTGGCCCCCATAAGAACAGGAGGATGGACTCAACGGGTCACTGGCGTGATCCAGCAAGCTCTTCTCATGTTCTCACAGTGCAGGTTGTGGGTCTCCCACAGGGGAGTTCAGAGCCCAGTGTGGCCTCCCTTGGCCTCGGTTCTGAGGACGTGCTGCTGAATCATCCGAGGTGGGGCTGGTAAGTCCTTGTCATGCTGTGCCCTCCTCCTCTCTCCTCTCCTCCTCTTCCAGGCCAGGCTGATGCAAGAGGAAGCCCAGGACTGTTAGCAGGGATAGTCTGCAGAACAGAAAGAGACTCAGACAGGACAAAACGTCCTGGAGAAGATGCAAGAATGCAAGAGAGAGAGAGGCGTTTGCAGCTGTGTGGGATGATTCAGGGGCACAAGAGGAAAACAAGCCCAGCTGGCAGGAGTCAGCCACACTGGGGCACGCATTTTCCATTGCCACCCGGCTTCTGCACCTAGTGGCATTCCCACCCCCACCCTCCCAAAGACTTGGGAGCAGACAACACACACTATTGAGAACCAGCATCCTGCTCTCACAGTGGCTAAACAGAAGTCCCAGTGGGAAACCAGCGAGCAGGATTCGAACTCAAGATCTTTCCCTGCTCCTGTGGTTTCCAGCAACAAGGATTCATAAGCATGGTTCCCTCCAATTGTTGAGGGCAGTGCAGGTTATTGCATCATACCATGAACAAAGCAAATGAACCATAAATAAAATGAGAGGTGGCAACCCATTTTTAAAAAGACACCCATATTTCTCACGCTGGCATGAATGCTGGATGCTGGGCATCTTAAGTCCAAAGCATGGGAAGTAAAATCACACCAGATGACAGGCAAGCATTCTGTATCCTCCTGGAAACATGCAGTTTATGTGTGGGTCCCCCCCCCCCCCGCAACAGCCAAAGCCTGTAAATCCTTATGGCAAATGAAGGCAAATGTAGATTTTTCAAGGTTTTCCAATCCTGGGAAATCTTAGCTGCAGTTGTGGGGAAGCCTGAACAGGTGATTGAATTGCTTTATCTATTTTTGAATATACTTGAGGCCAGAATCTGCCCTTATTCCCTTATGGGGGACACAAGAGCCTTATAGAGTCCTTTGTAGGTTCTCGATCGGTTGGAGAAAAGAACAGAGGCCAACCAGAGAATATTGAGAAGCAAAGCAGCTAGTAAGCCTGATCTTTATTAAAGCTGTTGCAACAGGGTGCCCCCTTCATGTGCAGGAGAAGGAGGAGGACCCAGAACCCAGGTGTGCCCCCCCTTATATAGACATTTTAAATTGCCTGCCCTGGAGTCCAAGACCACCTGCCAGACACATCAAACCTACATCACAGAAAGGGTGGTCTACAGCAGAAATCTGAGTGTGTTGTTTACCTCCTGTCGTTGTTTACCTCCTGTCTGGCAGGTTACCTGTTAATGCTTACTTGATTGGATACCCTGGGGAGCCTGGCCAGTCTTTTGTAATGATAAATACTTAGTTCCTGAACCAGGTCACAGGCTCACCCTATTCAAACACAGACAGACATACCGGTACCCTTAAGACAGGATTTGTGAAGGAAAAGACAATGGGGAGTCTTTTCCATTTTCCTTTGACCTTGCAGAGAAAACATTTGGTCAGTTTGGGAGCCGAAATGGCTTCATGGCTGTTTTCCTGTGCTGCTTCAGACATGTGGTTTATATATTTATGTACATGTTTGCTTGGTACATTTATGAACATTTATTATATATAAAAGACCTTATTTTTTTTTATTTCACCAGACTAATTAAACCTGAGGGCATTCCCACCAGAAATGGAGGAATGTCCCTCGGAGTCCACAGGCCCCACCAGCAATTCTGTGTTGACGTCTGAAAGGTCAGGATTTTTAAAAAACGAAAAACAGCCTTAGGAGGTGAAGGGACCAAACCTGTTTTCTGCTGCCATTTCCCCACTCCAAAACTCCCGCCTCTCAACTCCTTTTCCAGAGACTCCCTTTTACTGGGGAGGTTTTAATCAATGGCCACATGGACATCTGTTATGGATGCTTTGGTGGCAACTCCTGCATTGCAGGGGGTTGGACTGGATGACCCCGGGTCCCAACTCTACAATTCTATGAAAACCAGCTTGGGTATTGATTTCAAGCCGAAAAACGGACAGCAAGGAAAAGTTTAGGGCCCCTATTCACCCAACGTGACTCCTCTGCTCAAAACCACCCTCTCCTGAGGCTATTGCTACTTTTAAAAAATACATCAATAGAATCAGGCATATATTTCTCTGTGAGGATGTCTTTTCTGCTCAGAAATGATAAAGGGGGCCTCTTGGGAATAGAGAAAAAGAAGGCATGGGGTGGGGAGGAATCGGTAGCAAAGATAAAGTGAAGGGTCTTGGGCAGGAATAATCCAAGTTCTCCTGTCTGGAGACAGGAGACAGGGTGTTTTTCACACTTCTTGTGGGGCTGATCAGTTTAAGCAGCTTAAGCCTGGGGGCTCTTCCTCTTTTATTCTGGCTATCTTGGACCAAGGCTGATATCACACACCCTGACCATCTCCTGCGTATGAGTCAACAGAGGAGATTGCCAAGGTCCTTGGCTAAAGAGTCATGATGTTGCATCATTGCCGCTGCCAGGCGACTGTGATTTACGGCCCTAAAATGTCCCAAACACTGCAACCTTCCTTCTGTGGATCTCCAGGATCTCAAGACAGAGAAGGGTGATCCTTCTTAGCCCACCTGGAGATGCTTTGAACCCCAGACCAACTGCATGAAAAGGGTGCTGGGCTGCTTAGTGGTGGCCCCTCCCCAGTAAGAACATAGGAAGTTGCCTTCTCCTCAGAGAAGCCCTTGGTCCATCTGGGCAGTAAACCCTTAGGTGTAATTCCTGCATTGCTGGGGGTTGGGATAGATGACTAGGGGGGGTCCCTTCCAATTCTAGGATTCTGCATTGCCAATGGCCCTCAATGGCCCTGCAATGTTTCTTAACGGCCAGGTCATTCGCATGGGCTAGCCCAGGAATTCCCCTGAAGCTTGTATTTCTCCCTTCACATCCCAAATCATCAGAATCTTGCCATCTATTAATTTTCAAGGTTTGGGCACCGCCCCCACAAACTTAGTACAGAAGATTGATAATATTTTGCTTGTCTGCAGCTGCTTCGGTTTTTTCTCTCTGCCGCCTAGAGATATTGTTAATAGATGGTCTATAGAAATTCAGTAATCAATCAATCTCTGCTGCACTCCCTGTCATAAGAGAATCAGGGCCAGAGAGGGGAATAAATAAAAAATGACCCTACTGATATCAGATTATCATTCTACCCAAAAGCCCCACAAGAACAATAAACTGTCCCTTGAAGAATACATCGTTGGGAATATGTCCTTTTGCTGTGTCTTTTCATGTATCGTTGAATGTGATTTAATGTGCCTTTTGCTATTCCTGTTTCACTGATACTGAAATGTATCTTTTTCTCTAAGAAGTGTACCTATTTCTCCATGAAGGTATCTTTTTAAAAATGTGTTTCCCATGCAAAATGTATTTGTGAATGTATCTTTACTGAAATGCTGTATTATGCTGTACTTTTCTGAATGTATCCAAAATGTAGTTTTGAAGAATGTAACAATCAAAGTATTTCAAATGTATGTACTTGACTCAAAATTGTATCCAAAAGGCTGCCAAAACTCTCCACCACACTGCCATCTACTGGGTCTGCAAAGGATACCATGAATACACACAGATATAAAAGTAGTTTTATTTTCCAATAAGTATGCAAACATCAGGCTACCACACCCGAATTGATAGCAATGCAGAATAGGATTTCACATTAACATTTAAGCCATTTCCCGAACATCCAGCCTCACGATCTGCATGCTGATTATCAGCAGTTGCGGAGGTATTTTCCTGTAGATAAAGGAAAAGCCATTTAAAGCAGACCCAGAATTAAATAGGATGAAGATCGAAGATCGCCACATATTACTCGAGCCCTCCAGCAAATTGACACCTCCTCCCGAAAGTCTTTCAACATCCTACTCTTAATCCACTCTTCACGCCATTTATGTCGCTTCCCACCTCCCCGCCACCTGCGCTGCTATTGACCTGTATGGAAAGGTATAAGAGTCAAGGCAGTCCTTCTGTTCGGGGTCTCTCACTCCCTGTCACTGCGTGAGCGGGGACCCTGTTGCAACAGTTATTTGTTTTTCTGTTCTTTCAATAACGATCAGGCTTTGCTTTTCTCAAAAAATCCTGGTGTGGTCTCTGTCTTTTCCTGACCGGTACGGAGCCTTCAATCACACTCCTTCCGAGGTCCCGGTCCTCCTTCTGAGGCAGGGACCCCTTGGGGAGGCAATTCATTATTTATTTCACTCCCGAGCAGGCGGGCAGAGGGCAGGCTTTGCCCCCTGTGCCAGGGCTGTGTGTGGCTGCTCTTACTGCTGCCAACATCTCTCTTGGCGGATGGGAGGTTGGGTAAGGCTTGGGTCCCCTGCCAAGAGCGGAAGCGATGATGCCCTTTGGCCCAGACAATGGGGGCGCATCTCGGGTGCCGCCAGGGCCTTCTCTTGCCAAGCAGGGCAGGGGTGTTGGGTGGGGGAGCTGTGTCTCCTTGGCATTCAGTGACGGGGAGGCAGCCTTCCTGCTTGCCCTTTGTTAACGGAGAAATCTGAGGGCTCCCTTGGACAGAAAACAAGGACACCAGCCAGGAATACCAGAGCAAAACTGTCGGAATTCAAGCCTATCTCATTTGTAACTGGCAACTCTCCAGGCTTGGTCTCCTTTTGACCTCCCTGTCTGCATTCCCCAGCAAGATACAGGCTAGGTCGCGATAGGCGATTCTTCTCAGCGTGAGAAGAACACACACCCTCTTTCCTGCCCCCCCCCCAGCAGGAGAAAGAGATAGACAGAAAACGTATTTACATGCCTTTATTTCTGTCTTTGCAGCACTACAAAAACATGACTGCTCTCTTCAAGCTCCAGCAGTCAAGTGACAAACACTTCCTGCACTTCCTGTACAGGAACAAGAGGAAGAGCTCATATTACACTCTGAGCTAATTCCGGTGCTTTGCACTGTGAATTGACTGTCCCTCTGTTTCCCACGGAACAGTCCCAACATTCCATCATGTGGTGTTTTCAAGCTAGCAATTTGCAGCTGCATTGCATCCATATCGTAACATACTCCCCCATATGATTCAATGTGCGCTGTGAACAGAGCTTGATCCAGAGAAGAAAACAAACAGTTGTTATACATATAACAATCCCCTGTTGTTTCAGTTCCACCCTTGGAACTACCCGCCACTGGTTTCCCCAGTGTACCTCTCTGGTTGTCTGACTTCCAAGGAATGAGTGCATCTGCATTACCTTGGCTAGGGAATGTAATGTTACGCTTAGCAACTCCCTGTTGTGTCTTTGTCTCTGACTTAGACGCACCTTTAACCTGTCTTGAGTTGTCAACAATAGTAACACATGCAACAGCTGAGTTAGCAAACTCTTTGGAATACCTCTTGTGTGGTACGCCCTTTGTAACTCTCTCAGACCTACGTATGAGGTGCTGATCCTCTCTGCTTACTGGTTAGGTCTCAGGATTCTTTGGAGAACCAGTTCCAATAGTAAACAGTGGTTCATCCTTCACCTGTGAAGGTCTAACCATTGTGTGAGATTTCCTCTCAATGACTGTGTCAACTGAGCTCTTTGAGCTATCACTGTCACTCTCAGTTCATTGTCAATGAGATTAAAGTGTTAGGACAAAAAAAAATACCTCTTAATATCATGTACAGGCTCATGGGGTCTGAACCGGGTTTCTCTGTGTGCTCTAGGAGACCAGGGGAGAGGGGAGATGGTCGCAGCAGGAGGGGGAGTCTCCCTGGATGCTTCAGCTGATGGCCCCCTCTGATGCTCTCCTGGCCCCCTCCTCTCCTCCTCTGAGCCTGAACGGCTCTCTGCCCCAGCCTCTTCCACCTCACCAAACCTTGTTTCTTCCTCAGCTTGCACATCTCCCCTTCTGGTCTACACCCCTTTCTCCCTCTTTTTGCTCATTGCCATCCCACCACAAGTCCCTGGTGGTGCCTCCCCCCCCCCCTGCACCCAGCCAGTCCATGACAACAACAGCAGCCACAGCACTGTGGTCCTCTGGGAGGAAAACTCTCTAGCAGCATGACTGAATAAAAACTTCTGGGACTATGGGAAAGTACTATCTTCCCCAAACCCCAGAATCACCCATTAACTTACAGTATTATAAGTTTTCTTCAAAATGCTTAGGAGGCAGGGATGAAGTTTGGGTGAAGAAGCAATGTTTGGAGATCATGCGGTGGGGGGAGTGACAGAGTTTGGTGCAAAAACAGTCTTGCATGCTTGAGTAGAGCAAGTCCAGGGCATGAGCCAAGTAGCAGCAGGGTAGGGGCCACGTGCAGAGCAAGTCCCACACTGAGGTCAAAAACACACACAGAGGCAGCAGGACTTCTTCAGTAATAGTTTACTGAGCTTTCAAAGCATACAGTTCTCACTGGGTCCCCAGTGAGGCACAAAACTTAGCTCCTGAGAGCAAATCCAGTTTCAGCAGTAAAAAAATACACCACACAAGATATCTAAGTCAGGCACACACACTGGCAGAAGGGAGCAAGGGAGGAAAGAGGCTGGAAGGACACAGGGCAATGGAGGTGTGTTTTTCGCTTCCTGTCGTCTGGGAGGGAAGTCAGGAACTCGGCATCTGCAGGGGCTTCACAAAGCAAAGCTTTCTGTTGCCTGCTTCCAGGCAAATGGGCATCCCAGAAACACACACTGTGATCTGTGGGGTGTTGCCATATCCATTGTTTTTGGAAGGTTATCACAATGTGGTCTAGAAACCGGTATAGGATGAGATCAATATATGCCCAGCCCTAATCCTCACTCACCACCAGAAATACAGATTTACCCTCTCCCCCTCACTATCAAAACATACCTTACATCTAAAATTATACTCATTATTGTGGGACATTACCTTCATTATTTCATTACTATACAGTTTTACATATAAACAGCAGAACAAATACATGACACGCTTTGAAGATGGATTTTCTGCTGAGTTCATTGCTGTGAAGAAGAGTAAACTCCGAAAGGAACACGTTCCTCACTCCATACATCTAAATGGGTTCTCCCCTGTGAGAAGAAGAAGAGTTTGGATTTGATATCCCGCTTTATCACTACCCGAAGGAGTCTCAAAGCGGCTAACATTCTCCTTTCCCTTCCTCTGTGAGGTGAGTGGGGCTGAGAGAATTCAAAGAAGTGTGACTGGCCCAAGGTCACCCAGAAGCTGCATGTGGAGGAGCGGAGACGCAAACACGGTTCCCCAGATTACGAATCTACCACTCTTAACCATTACACCACACTGGCTCTTATATGTTCCTTAAACACTCCATTATAACTAAAGCACTTTCTGCAATCTTTCCCTTTAAACAGCTTCTCCTCTTTGAGGGTTGATGGGTTTGTAGGGTGTCAACTGTTAAAGTTCAACCTGTCCATGAGTCTGTAGATGTAGGACTTCCACTAGGACTGAACCTCTGTCTACTTTCCTGACATTTATATGGTTTGTCTTTTGTGTGAGTTTGTTGACATAAATCTAGGGTTCCACTCTGACTGAAGTTCCTTTTACAGTCCATACCTTTAAATGGTTTCTCCCCTGTGTGTCTGCTGATGTTTTCTAAGATTTCTATTATCACTAAAGCTCTTTCCGGACTCCATACATTTAAATCGTTTCTTACCGATGTGAGTCTGTTGATGTACTCTCAGGTTTCCACTATAACTGAAGCTCTTTCCACACTTCGTACATTTAAAAGGTTTCTCTCCTGTGTGAGTCCGCTGATGTTGTCTAAGGTGTGCACTCTGACTGAAGTTCTTTCCACACTCGATACATTTATATGGTTTCTCCCCTGTATGAGTCCGTTGATGTATTCTAAGGTGTCCAATCCGAATGAAGCTCTTTCCGCACTCCATACATTTAAATGGTTTCTCCCCTGTATGAGTCCGTTGATGTATTCTAAGGTTTCCAATCTGAATGAAGCTCTTTCCGCACTCCATACATTTAAATGGTTTCTCACCTGTGTGAGTTCGTTGATGTGTTCTAAGGCTTCCACTATCACTAAAACTCTTCCCACACTCCATGCATTTAAATGGTTTCTCCCCTGTGTGAATCAGTTGATGTTGTCTAAGGTTTGAATTGAAACTGAAGCTCTTTCCACACTCCATACATTTAAATGGTTTCTCTCCTGTGTGAGTCCGTTGATGTTGTCTAAGGCCTGCATCGTAACTAAAGCTCTTTCCACACACCATGCATTTAAATGGTTTCTCTCCTGTGTGAGTCCGTTGATGTGATCTAAGGCTTCCACCATAACTAAAGCTTGTTCCACACACCATGCATTTAAATGGTTTCTCCCCTGTGTGAGTCCGTTGATGTGATCTAAGGCCTGCATCGTGACTGAAGCTCTTTCCACACTCGATACATGTATATGGTTTCTCCCCTGTATGAGTCCGTTGATGTATTCTAAGGTTTCCAATCTGAATGAAGCTCTTTCCACACTCCATACATCTAAATCGTTTCTCACCTGTGTGAGTTTGATGGTGTAAAATTAGGTGCGCATTTTGACTAAAGTTCTTTCCACACTCCATGCATTTAAATGGTTTCTCCCCTGTGTGAGTCAGTTGATGTTGTCTAAGGTTTGAACTGAAACTGAAGCTCTTTCCACACTCCATACATTTAAATGGTTTCTCTCCTGTGTGAATATGTTGATGTTTTCTAAGGCTTCCACTATCACTAAAGCTCTTTCCACAAGCCATGCATTTAAATGGTTTCTCCCCTGTATGCGTCCGTTGATGTATTCTAAGGGTTCCACTATCACTAAAGCTCTTTCCACACGCCATGCATTTAAACGGTTTCTCCCCTGTATGTGTACGTCGATGTATTCTAAGGTTTCCAATCCGACTGAAGGTCTTTCCACACTCCATACATTCATATGGTTTCTCCCCTGTGTGAGTCCGTTGATGTGATCTAAGGCTTGCATCATAACTGAAGCTCTTCCCACACTCCATACATTCATATGGTTTCTCCCCTGTGTGAGTCCGTTGATGTGATCTAAGGGTTGTATTGGAACTGAAGCTCTTTCCACACTCCACACATTTAAACGGTTTCTCCCCTGTGTGAGTTTGTTGATGTATTCTAAGTGTATCTCTTCGACGGAAACTCTTTCCACACTCCATACATTTAAAAGGTTTCTCCTCTTTGTGTGTCTGTGCATGTAACTTAAGGTGTGCCCTCTGACTGAAGTTCTTCCCACACTCCATACATTCATATGGTTTCTCCCCTGTGTGAGTCTTTTGGTGTAATTTAAGGTTTCCATTCTGACTGAAGCTCTTCCCACACTCCCTGCATTTGAATCCTTTCTTACCCATGGGAGTCCGCTGATGTGTTCTAGGTTTTTCACTATCAGTGAAACTCTTTCCACACTTCAAATCTTTAAAAGGTTTCTCCTGTGAGTTTGTTGATGTGAGCTATGTGTGCTCATTCAGTGAAGCATATTCCACATTTCGCACATTTCAATGTCTATTCCTAATGAAATGAAAGGTTCCCCGTCCCCTGGAATTCTGACGTTCTTCTGTATCACTTTCTTCAGCGTGGGCAGAGAGGAAGTCCTTTTTGGATTCCAAGGAAGAGAACAAAGGGAAAAGAACAAATCAATCACCATTTGCCCCTTCTCTTATTTCAACATCTCCTACATTCCCCCGCTTCCTACCCATGTTCCCAATTTTTAGGAAATAATAATAATAATGATAATAATTTATTATTTATACCCTGCCCATCTGGCTGGGTTTCCCCAGCCACTCTGGGCAGCTTCCAGAAAAACATTAAAATACTGTAATACATCAAACATTAAAAGCTTCCCTAAAAAGGGCTGCCTTCAGATGTCTTTTAAAAGTCTGGTAGTTGTTTATCTCTTTGACATCTAGTGGGAGGGCGTTCCACGGGGAGGGTGCCACTACCTAGAAGGCCCTCTGCCTGGTTCCCTGTAACTTGGCTTCTCGCAGTGAGGGAACCGCCATAAGGCCCTCGGTGCTGGACCTCAGTGTCCAGGTAGAACAATGGGGGTGGAAATGCTCTTTCAGATATACTGGACCGAGGCTGTTTAGGGCATTAAAGGTCTGCACCAACACTTTGAATTGTGCTCGGAAACGTACTGGGAGCCAATGTAGGTCTTTCAAGACCGGTGTTATGTGGTCTTGGTGGCCGCTCCCAGTCCCCAGTCTAGCTGCTGCATTCTGGATTAGTTGTAGTTTCCGGGTCACCTTCAAAGGTAGCCCCATGTATAGCGCATTGAAGTCCAAGCGGGAGATAACCAGAGCATGCACCACTCTGGCAAGGCAGTCCATAGGCAGATAGGGTCTCAGCCTGCGTACCAGATAGAGCTGGTAGACAGCTGCCCTGGACACAGAATTGACCTGTGCCTCCATGGACAGCTGTGAGTCCAAAATGACTACCAGGCTGTGCACCTGGTCCTTCAGGGGCACAGTTACCCCATTCAGGACCAGGGAATCCTCCACACCTGCCCATCTCCTGTCCCCCAAAAGCAGTACTTCTATCTTGTCAGGATTCAACCTCAATCTGTTAGCCGCCATCCATCCTCCAACCGCCTCCAGACACTCACACAGGACCTTCACTGCCTTCACTGCTTCTGATTTGAAAGAGAGGTAGAGCTGAGTATCATCCGCATATGGATGAACACCCAGCCCAAACCCCCTGATGATCTCTCCCAGCGACTTCATATAGATGTTGAAAAACATGGGGAGAGTACAGAACCCTGAGGCACCCCACAAGTGAGAGCCCAGGGGTCTGAACACTCATCCCCTAACCCCATTTTCTGGACACGGCCCAGGAGAAAGGAGCGGAACCACTGTATGACAGTGCCCCCAGCTCCCAGCCCCTCAAGACGGTCCAGAAGGATGTTATGCTCAATGGTATCAAACGCCGCTGAGAGATCCAGCAGAACTAGGAAACCTTTGTCCCTAGCCCACCAGAGATCATCAACCAGTGCGACCAAGGCAGTTTCAGTCCCATGATGAGGCCTGAATCCCAACTGGAAGGAATCCAAATGGTCCGCTTCTTCCAGGCGTGCCTGGAGTTGTTCAGCAACCACTCGCTCAATCACCTTGCCCAAGAATGGAAGATTTGAGACTGGGCGATAGTTGGGCATCGTGGCCGCATCTAAAAATGGTTTCTTAAGAAGCGGTTTAATAACCGCCTCTTTCAGCGGGTCTGGGAAGGCTCCCTCACGGAGGGAAGCATTGACCACCCCACGAAGCCCATCGCCCAGCCCTTCCCGGCTAGCTTTTATCAGCCAGGATGGGCAAGGATCAAGGAGACAAGTGGTTGGTTTCACTCGTCCAAGCAGTCTGTCCCTCGGGGGTAACAGGTTGGAATTGATCCCATACAACTTGACTAGACAGACTCTAGCACTCTCCCGCCCCGGCCCTGATTCCACGGTGGAGTCTACCTGAGCGACTGGAGTGACCTGAGTGAATCTGAGCGACTTTATCTGTAAAAAAACTTTGCAAAATCATTGCAGGAGATCATGTGGCCCGCACTGAGCCTTGATGGAGCAGGTGGTTCTGCTAAATTGCGAACCACCTGAAAAAGTCTCCTGCTGCTGTTTTCTGCAGATGCAATAGAGGCGGTGAAGAAAGTAGTTTTCGCCATCACTACCGCCACTTGGTAGGCTCAACATTCAGCTCTAACCCGTGTCCGGTCAGCTTCAGAATGGGTCATCCGCCATCGGTGCTCTAGCCGTCTCAACGATTGTTCCATTGCCCTCAGATCCGTGGAAAACCACGGGGCTGTTCGGGCTCCATGCAATCAGAGAGGGCGCTTCAGAGCCAGTCAATAGCCCTGGTTAACTCCACATTCCAGCGGGCCACCAGGGAATCAGCTGAAAGGCCGTCAACGTGGGATAAAGCATCCCCTACCACTCTCTGGAAGCCATTTGGATCCATTATGTGGTGGGAGCGGACCATCCAAATTGGTCCCACCTCCCTGCAGAGGGGAAGGGTCGCGGAGAAGTCCAGTTGCACCAGGAAGTGATCTGACCATGGCACTTCTGTTGTTTTGCTTTTACCTAGTGTCAGATCACGAACATCCATAGAGATAAACACCAGGTCCAAGGCATGTCCGTGGCTATGGGTTGGGCCAGACTTATTCAGGGACAGCCCCATGGAGGCCATGCTTTCCACGAAGTCCCGAGCAGCCCCTTGTAAGGTCATGTCGGCATGGATGTTAAAATCCCCTAGGACAACCAAACTAGGTGTCTCCAGGAGACCATCCACCATGACCTGAAGCAGCTCGGACAGGGAATCCTTGGTGAAGTGGGGGGGGGGAGTTGGTACACCAAAAGGAATCCTGTACTGCCCCTATTGCCCAACTTCCAGAACATGCACTCGGAAAACTGGGTCTTCCCAATAGGACGCCTGGTGCAAACTAATGACTTCCTAAAAATCACTGCAAACCCCCCTCCCCGCCCACAAGGCCTGGGTTGCTGTGTGTAAGAGAAACCTGGTGGACAAGCAGCGGGAAGGACAGGCCCATCTGCTTCATCCAACCAAGCCTCTGTTACACATGCCAAGTCAAGTCCTCCATCCACGATCAAGTCATGGATCACAATGGTTTTATGGATCATTGACCTGCCATTGCACAGCAGCACCTTCAGGTTGTGAGGGTATCCCTTGCTGATTCCAGTATCCATCCAGTCAAGACCAGACCTGGAGGCAGGGATAGTCCTCAAACAATGACTAAGCCCGCTTCCTCGGTAATGACATGGTCTGGTCTTAGCGTAACTCCTCCTCCTACCCGTGATCACTGAAATCGGTTGCCCCAGTACACCCCCCCCCCCCGTGGAACTTGCCCCAGCCATTTTGTTTGCTGGGACCCACTCCCAGGCAGCCCTGACCCCTCCCCTTAAAATCAAATTAAAACCTATACAAAAAACAAACTAACAAAACAAACTAACAAAAACAAAAAGAGAACGTTACAAACACACCATAATTAAATTAAATTAAACAAATTCCCGCACCCAACTAAACACCCAACCCACCCCTCTTACGCACAGCAAATGAAAAAACAATGTCATCAAATGATAGTAATGCAGCAGCAACCTTTCATAATCCTCAAACATTGTTAATAGCACAGCATGATCTTGGAATACAGCCTTTTCAAATCAAGTGTTTCCTCACAGGAAAGGCGGCTGCTCTCTGTCCATGAACAGGCCCTCTCTTTCTCTGGTCCATCGTTCCTTTGGACATTCCCCATCCTCTGCATCATAAAGACACTGAGGTCCAGGGCCAAGGGCCTTCTGGCGGTTCCCTCATTGCAAGAAGCCAAGTTACAGGGAACCAGACAGAGGGCCTTCTCGGTGGTGGCGCCCTCCCCGTGGAACGCCCTCCCTTCAGATGTGAAGGAAATAAGCAGCTATCTTATCTTTAAAAGACATCTGAAGGCAGCCCTGTTCAGGGAAGTTTTTAATATTTAACGCTGTACTGTTTTAAACATTTGATTGGGAGCTGCCCAGAGTGGCTGGGGAAACTCATCCAGATGGGCAGGGTATAAATAATAAATTATTATTATATTATTATTATAATCCTCCATCCAGCCCTGTTTCTACCTCTACATCTTCATGAGTCACCTTCACAGTCCCAATGGCCTCAAGAGGTCCAAGTGGACCATTTTGGGAGACCCAGGTCTAAGTCTTTTCCAGGGACTGTGGTCTGGGTCAGTCAGAGAACTAGTGACAAGGCTTGGTGCTTGGCGTCAGCTGAATGGGTGCTCAGGGAAGCTCCTGTTCTTGGAGATGGACCTCCGTCTACATGCCTTGCATTGCATGGAGAGAGCAGGAGAAGCAGAAGAAAAGCAGCTGGCAAATGGGAAACAGCCCATCCCAATTGTTCCTTATAATAATGATGTGCTGCCTGATCTCGTGCCCCTCTTCTGACACAGGACTACCCTAATCTGGCACTGACAAAGCTGGATAGTCAAGGCAAAGGGGATAACTGGACTTAATGGAAAGTTCAACCTTGTAACACTGTCCTAAAGGATCTTCACTCGCTCTCAGTGCATTTCCGAGCACAATTCAAACTCTTTGTGCTGATCTTTAAATTGTCATGGTTGCATCTTTCAGGCAAGAAAAGTATTGATCTAACATATAGAGATCATTCCTAGTCTATTGGTTCAAGAAGGTTCTGTTCGTTTTACTCTGTGTGAGTCAAAGCTGGTGTTTTCTCTAGCTGGAGCATTTTAGCTGATAAGGGAGTTTCCTTTCTGAGAGCAGGGGGTGGGATAAGTTGTAATGAGATTATGCTGAACCTTCCTTATTTTTGGGAACCAGAAGAAGCTGGCTTAAACTGGAGTGAGCCAAGCTTGTTATCCAGTCCCAAGTTTACTCTGACACTGAATTGTTTATAAATTACAGTATTGAAAGACGGCTGGTCCCACTTCCTATTCTGCTATTCTCTACTCTGCTTGTGTCTTTCTTACTTGAGTGCTGTTTTGGTATGCTATGTTAGGGTTTTACTGTAAATTCAGTTTTTGGATTGTTATGATTCTTTGCCTTCAGTACTAAATTTATCTGCTGAATGGATTTTTTTGCTGCCTCTGAGTGTTTTTTCCTACTCTGCTAACTATATGTCAGACTTGGAGATCATTATGGAGGAGCAAGATCTGCGACCTAAAGCCCTCAACCGCCTTGGCCCTGTAGACCTGAAGGAGCGTCTCCACCCCCACCCTTCACTCTGAACACTGAGGTCCTCCTCTGAGGGTCTTCTGCTGGTCCCCTCTCTGTGATAAGTGAGGGTACAGGGAAGCAGGCAGAGGGCCTTCTCGGTGGTGGTGCCCTCCCTGTGGAACACCCTCCCTTCGGAGGTCAAGGAAATGAACAACTATCTGACATTTAGAAGACAGCTGAAGGCAGCCTTGTGTCAGGAGGTTTTTAATGTTTAATGTTTTCCTGTCTTTTATGTGTACTGGAAGCTGCCCAGAATGGCTGGGGAAACCCAACCAGATGGGTGGGGTATAAACACTAAAATTATTATTATTATCTTGTGGGGTTTTTTGTAGTTATTTTGGAATTTGTACTGCAATATCAGCGCACGAAAGTTGTGGGCGGAGAAAATCACAGGGTTGCCGTAAATTATAATCCCACCCACAAACTCTCATTTACATACACTCTGTAAATTGGGTCCTTTGACTGAGAAGATTTGTGCAGTCGCTTTCATTGGGTGCTGATGGATCGTATCTCAGCTTGTCAGTCCCTCTGACATTGCCTAAAAAGAATAAGAGGAACAGAATGTTTTTGAGGATCCCTCTCTGGTTGCCTTGAAGGGGGGGGGGGTGGATTCCTGGGCGGGAGGGAGAAGCCAAGGCGGCCCCTCCGGAGATTCATCGCGGGCGTCATGATGGAGATGTCTCCCCAAAGACTGGTCTTCCTCTCCCCCCCCCCATTGCTGTGCTTCCCTGACCCGGGGGTGCCTCCTCCCTTCTCCCCCCACTTCCATGACCCCCTCTCTTTCTCCCGGAGTATCCCCTGCACCCAGACGCCCCCTTGGCTCACCCCTCGCCCTGCGCTACAAATCTCTCCATCCCTATTGCCCCCCCCAAGACGAGCCGGGGAGGGACAGGGGGGTCTCTATCCCGGCGCCTCCCGCACCCCTTAACCCTTTCCTGGCCCGCTTCTCCGCGCCCCAGGGATGCCTGCGCGGGGGAAACGGGGCCAGGGAGTCCTCGTGGGTGGGCGCCCCATCTCCGCCCCTTGGCAGCACGCGTGCCGGGATCCACGCCCCACGGAAGACGCTTCGGGGAGTTGGCGGGGTCTCTGGATCCTTTTCCCCCTCTCCTCCGCGACCCCTTTACCTCTTTGTCCTCACCCGCGATTCTCCTTTCCTTTCCTGCAACATCCACGTGGGTGGGGGGATTTACCTGCCGCCCCTCCTCCCCTTTCCGAAAGCCCCCCCCCACACACACAGAGCAACGGGGCAAAGCAGCAATCCGGAGTGGAAGCTCCACTTCCGGGAGAAGAAGCCAGCTTGGGAGGGTGGCTCACCCCCCCCACATTCCTGGAGCAGAAGCCGCATTGGAGGAGGAGGAGGAAGAGGAGGAGGAAGGGGTGCAACGTATGGGGGGCGGGAATTGGGGTTGTGGGGGCGGGGTGAGAGGAGGAGGGGAGGGGCGGGAAAGAATTGAGGGGGGGAGAGGAAGAGGAAGGTTTCCCCCTCCCCTTTTCCTTTAGTGGATCAGGAGAGCGGGGGAGGGGCTGATCCCGGAGATCCAGCTGCAAAGAGGGGTCCCCCCCCACAAGTGCAACATCCTCCCCCACCCCACCCCACGAGCTTAGATCCCTCCGTGTTTTAGGTCTTGGTGCTGTTCAAACCAGGAATGGAGGGGGGCAGCTAAGCGACTCCCCCCAAATCCCAGCTCCCCACCCCAGCCTCTGACTCAGGCCAGGACAAGGACCGTGGACACAGGCACCGTCCCTGCACAACAGCCAAGAGGCTCAGAAAAGCAGCCTATAGAATTGTAGCCAGAAGCGGATACCATGTGTTAACGGAGAAATCTGCGGACGTTGCAGACGTGTTGCTAAGCTTGGGGGATAATGGTCCCCCCCCCTTTGATAGTCCTTCACTCATGGTATAAAATAAAAGTGGAACAGTGCAGATGCGATGTATGGCAGATTTTCTATGAATTTATAACAGAAGCATTGCGTGTGTGTGTGTGTGTGTCGTGTTTGTACAAACTCAATGATTGGGGGGGGGGGGTTCCTGCAACACATGAATCCCAATCCCAAAGAAGGGCAGTGCCAAAGAATGCTCCACCTACCGTACAATTGCACTCATTTCACACGCTAGGAAGGTTATGCTTAAAATGCTAGAAGGAAGGCTCAAGCAGTATGCGGACCGAGAACTCCCAGAAGTGCAAGCTGGATTTCGAAGGGGCAGAGGAACCAGAGACCAAATTGCAAACATGCGCTGGATTATGGAGAAAGCTAGAGAGTTCCAGAAAGACATCTACTTCTGCTTCATTGACTATGCAAACTATGGCAAGTTCTTAAAGAAATGGGAGTGCCTGATCACCTCATCTGTCTCCTGAGAAATCTCTTTGTGGGACAAGAAGCTCCAGTTAGAACTGGATATGGAACAACTGATTGGTTCAAAATTGGGAAAAGAGTTTGACAAGGCTGTATATTGTCTCCCTGCTTATTTAACGTATATGCAGAATTCATCATGCAAAATGCTGGACTGGATTGTGAGGCACAAATACAAGATGGGGGACACCTGGCTTGAGAGCAGTACATGTGAAAAGGATCTAGGAGTCTTGGTTGACCACAAACTTGACATGAGCCAACAGTGTGACGCGGCAGCTAAAAAAGCCAATGCAATTCTGGGCTGCATCAATAGGAGTATAGCATCTAGATCAAGGGAAGTAATAGTGCCACTGTATTCTGCTCTGGTCAGACCTCACCTGGAGTACTGTGTCCAGTTCTGGGCACCACAGTTCAAGAAGGACACTGACAAACTGGAACGTGTCCAGAGGAGGGCAACCCAAATGGTCAAAGGCCTGGAAACGATGCCTTATGAGGAACGGCTAAGGGAGCTGGGCATGTTTAGCCTGGAGAAGAGGAGGTTAAGGGGTGATATGATAGCCATGTTCAAATATATAAAAGGCTGTCACATAGAGGAGGGAGAAAGGTTGTTTTCTGCTGCTCCAGAGAAGCGGACACGGAGCAATGGATCCAAACTACAAGAAAGAAGATTCCACCTAAACATTAGGAAGAACTTCCTGACAGTAAGAGCTGTTCGACAGTGGAATTTGCTGCCAAGGAGTGTGGTGGAGTCTCCTTCTTTGGAGGGCTTTAAGCAGAGGCTTGACAACCATATGTCAGGAGTGCTCTGATGGTGTTTCCTGCTTGGCAGGGGGTTGGACTCGATGGCCCTTGTGGTCTCTTCCAACTCTATGATTCTATGATTCTATGGATGAATCCTGTAATAAAAAAGTTAAGGTTTTATATATATGTAATAAATGTTCATAAATTTACCAACCAAGCGCATACATAGATATGTCGACCACATGTCTGGAGCCGCACAGGAAGACCATCCTGAAACCATTTTGACTCCCAAACTGACCAAATGTTTTCTCTGCAAGGAGGGAGGGGGTGAGGGAACCTTCCCATTGTCTCCGGAATCGGGAAATCACCATCTCAAAGGAATGGCCAGACTACCAGGAGAGGGAATCAGATAAGGCATTATCAGATAACCTGGCAGACAGGAAAAACGACAACATTCAAATTTCTGTTGCAGACCACCTTTTCTGTGATGCAGGTATGATGTTTGTGGGGGGTGGTCTTGGGTTACACCCCTTCTGTGATGTATGTATGATGTATGGAGGGGTGGTCTGGAGCTCCAGGGCAGGAAATTTAAAATGTCTATATAAGGGCAGGCACGCCTTGGTTCGGGGTCCTCCTCAGGGGAGCACCCTGTTGCAACAGATAAATAAAGATCAGGCTTACTAGCTGCTTTGCTTCTCAATAGTCTCTGGATGTCTCTGTTATTTCCTCCTACCGATGGAGAGCCTACAAAAGGACTCTATAAAGGGCTCTTGTGTCCCCCATAAGGGAAGAAGGGCAGCTTTTGTTTACAACAGATGGCACCCCAGATGGGACCTTCGGTTGGCTGGATTCAAGGGGGGGCAAGGAAGGACCGGTGATCCAGCGCGCACCAGGCCATTTGCCAGGAGGAGCCACCAGTCCTTTAGTGACCCCAGGGTCTGGAAAGAACTGGAGTTCCAGTGGGGCTAACCAGAGGAAGCAACGCTTGATCAGGCCAGCCACAGATTTATTTATTTTTAAAATAATCTTTATTGATTTAAATTACACACATATACAAAGAATTTGCAATCTCATACTGCAAAAAGAAAATTAAAGAAAAAACAATTAAGAAAAAAGGAAAGAAGAAAATACAGAAAAAAGAAAGAAGAAAAAGCAGATTTATATGCATAAAAAAACTTAATCTTCCTAATTAAATAAAAAAGACTTCTGACAAAAGGAGTCTTCCAATCATTCTCATTGTACTGTTTATACTGCCGTTGTTGTTTTCCCCAAAAAACTTTTATATTCTTTAATATTGTTCCCGTCTACTCCACAAACAGTATTTGTTGTGTTTACAAGTATCACTCAAGTTCTGCTAATATGGTGTGGTTGGTACAATATGATCTTATATAATCCTTAAATATTCTCCCTTTTCCAAGTATTTTCCGGTTCAATACTCCTCTAACTCTTCCCATCAGTTTTGCTAGTTGTAAATATTCTAACATGAGTATATGGCTTCTCTTGGTGATGTCCACAAGGGTATTTTTGGCTCAAGTAGTCCTTTATATTTACTCCAGATTTTATATAATGATTTCCTTATCACATGGCTCAAAATTCCCCTGTGGACCTTCACTTTTCCGTATATTAAAGAAGCGTGCCATCCAGACCGATTCTCGTGGCCTTCCAAGTCTAATAGGTCCGTATCTTTTAGTGTAATCCAGTCTTTTATCCAAACCAATCCTGCCGCCGCATGGTAGAATTCCAAATCTGGCAATGCAAAACCTCCTCTCTCCTTTTGATCTGTTAATAACTGGTGTTTAATTCTCGGTTTCTTTCCACTCCATATAAATCGAGATATTTCCATTTCCCACTCCCTAAAACAATTCATTTCTCCTAAAATGGGCATTGTTTGGAATAAGAAAATCATTTTGGGGAGGATATTCATTTTCACAACCGAGACTCTTCCCCAGAGTGAGAGATTGAGTTTGGTCCAGGTACCATATATTTTTTAAAAAATTTCTTTCCATACTTTACTATAATTATCCTCATATAAATTTAAACTTTTATTTGAAATCCAGATCCCTAGGTATCTAACCTTATTTTTAGTTTCCGGACCTGTTTTTTCTTGAAATTCTTTTTTTTCCTTCCATTGTGAGGCTTTTTGTCAGTAATTTAGTTTTTTGGTAGATTATTTTCAGCCCCAGGCCGGCCATAAATTAATCTAGTAAGAGACCCCGGGATGGCCAGGAGCAGCGCATGCGGACGTGAGTCTAGGAATGGAGAAGATTGTGGGCGGGATTCTCTGAAACACCCAGCAACCCAGATTCTCATCCTTGGCTGTCTCTTTTGCTGACGGTCTTCACTCCCAGCCTTCCTGGCAAGAGGTAGCTAGGAGGGGGAGGGGAGAACGGGAGAATTGGGGTTCTGCAATTAGAGAGGCAATTGACTGCAAGGGGAGAACGCCAATCAAAGCTCTCGTTCCCTGTTGCGGAACTTGAGATCTGAAACTTTTCCTTTTTCCCACGGAAGACGCCCCAAGGCTGGTCCAAGTGGCCAGTTTGGATAGCAAGGGACTTGGGCTCGGTTTCCAATTTCTCTTTTTCTCGTAAATGCAGCTGCACCGGCAGCACCAAGATCTGGAAGGAAGTGACTGGGGCGCGTCAGAGCGCAAGAGCATTTCCAGTTCCTTTCCGTTCTCTCTGGAGCAGCCGGATTTGGCACTGGGCTGCCAGGCGTCCAATGGAAAGGGACTCTTTTCCCTAGAGTGTAAGAGGCAGAAAAGGGTGCTGGGACCCCATGGTAAATAAAGGGAGGGAGAAGGACTTTGTAGAGTCCTTCGTAAAGAAGACGAATGACTGTCAGGTCAGAAAAGACCTGGGAAAAGGCTAGCGGGTTTTTGTTTTTGTTTTGGCTTTGGTTGAAAAATGGGATCCCCACATTCTAAGAGTCCTAACCGCCAGACTCAAAGGCATGTGCTGATCGCAGCAGGAGGGGGAGTCTCCCTGGAGGCTTCAGCAGCCGGCCTCCTCTGGGTCTCCTGGCCCCCTCCTCTCCTCCCTCTGTTTTTTTTAAAAAAAATAATATTTATTACTTTTCCAACAATTTAAACACTAAAAAGACAATACAATACAATACATTAAACTAACAGAACAAAACAAAAACAATAAAATAAATCAAACAATTCCATTATCCCATCTTTCATTCACTTATTTCCACAACCTCACACCTCCCTTTTTGTATTCCACTTCTGTTAATTATTTCAGCAATTCCTTTCCATCTTCCTCTGGTTTCTATCCTAGAATTATCTTAACTCATTCTAACCTTATTTTTTCCTTTAATACTCTATTAATCTATTTATACTTAATTCCTTATAACGTTTCTACTAAAGCCATATAACTTCATTCCAACATTTTTCTAACATTCATTAATTTTACAGTATTTCTGTAAATAGTCTTTAAACTTTTTCCAATCTTCTTCCACCAACTCTTCTCCCTGGTCTCGGATTCTGCCAGTCATTTCCGCCAGTTCCATATAGTCCATCACCTTCATCTGCCATTCTTCCAGAGTGGGTAGATCTTGTGTCTTCCAATACTTTGCAATAAGTATTCTTGCTGCTGTTGTTGCATACATAAAGAAAGTTCTATCCTTCTTTGGCACCATTTGGCCGACCATGCCCAGGAGAAAGGCCTCTGGTTTTTTCAGGAAGGTATATTTAAATACCTTTTTCATTTCGTTATAAATCATCTCCCAGAATGTCTTAATCCTTGGGCATGTCCACCAAAGGTGAAAGAATGTGCCTTCAGTCTTGTTACATTTCCAGCATTTATTATCGGGCAAGTGATAAATTTTCACAAGCTTGACTGGTGTCATGTACCACCTATATATCATTTTCATTAAGTTTTCTCTTAGGGCATTACATGCCGTAAATTTCATACCTGTGGTCCATAACTGTTCCCAGTCGGCCATCATTATGTTATGTCCAACATCTTGTGCCCATTTAATCATAGCTGATTTCACCGTTTCATCCTGAGTGTTCCATTTCAACAGCAAGTTATACATTCTTGACAAATTCTTAATTTTTGAATCTAACAATTCTGTTTCCAATTTTGATTTTTCCACCTGGAAACCAACTTTTTTGTCCAAATTGTATGCCTCCATTATTTGATAATAATGGAGCCAATCTCGCACTTTATTTTTCAATTTTTCAAAGCTCTGCAATTTTATTCTGTCTCCATCTTGATCCAGAATTTCCCAATATTTCGGCCCTTTGGCCTCCATATTGAGTTTTTTCTGTGCCTTCGCTTCCATTGGTGACAACCATCTTGGGGTTTTCTTTTCTAACAAATCTTTATATCTTATCCAAACATTAAACAATGCTTTTCTAACAATATGATTTTTAAACGCTTTATGTACTTTTACCTTATCGTACCACAAATATGCATGCCAACCAAATGCATTATTGAAACCTTCTAGATCCAACACGTCAGTGTTTTCAAGAAGCAGCCATTCTCTCAGCCAGCAAAAAGCCGCTGGTTCATAATAAAGTTTGAAGTCTGGCAGGGCAAATCCACCTCTTTCTTTAGCATCAGTTAATATCTTAAATTTTATTCGAGGCTTCTTGCCCTGCCAAACAAATCTGGAAATATCTTTCTGCCACTTCTTGAAACAATCCATCTTATCCAAAATTTGTAATGTTTGAAACAAAAACAACATCCTTGGCAGCACATTCATTTTTATCACAGCAATTCGGCCTAACAATGATAACTTCAAATTTGTCCATATTTCTAAATCCTTTTTCACTTCAATCCAACATTTTTCATAATTATCCTTAAATAGATTCACATTTTTGGCAGTCATGTTAACCCCTAAATATTTCACTTTCTTAACCAGTGTTAGTCCTACAATCCAAAGTTAGATTCAGGGTTCTGTTACTCTTGACTCCTTTTAGAAACAGCCGGAGACTGTAGAAACAATGTATTTCTCTTACTTAGCTAGCTGTCAGTGAACGTTCTAAAGGCTGTCAATGGACATTCCAAAAGACGTCAGTCCTACTAGCAGCCCGTTTCCAGGGTCAGAGCGGCAGTATTCTAACTCTCTTCACTCTCTCCTGCAGGCATACTCAGTCCACAACTCCCCCCCTCTTCTCCTGCCCCCAAGGGGGGGTTAAATGTTCTTTACCGTTGAAAGTTTAGTCTTCTACAAAAGGCTTTCCAAGGCTTCAGCTTGCAGCCTCATTGCTTCAGTCTATTTACAAAAGGGGAAGGCAGACTTCCTGTAATGAACCTCCCCGCTTCGATACCAAATTATACGTTTAAAAATCCAATTCTCCCGTTTCAGCTCTACTCATGGGTAATTACTTTAGAGTCAAATTGTCCACAGGAAAAAGTCAGCGCTCTCCGGCAACAGCTATGCGGCTTCGCTCCATGGAAAAAGCAGTCGATTCGAAGCACCGCGCCACTCACCCCATGTCGCTCCGGACCCCCGAAACCGGGTTCCCCGTGAGTAGAGGAGGCGCAAAGGGTGCCCGCCGAATCCCACGTTCACAGGCTTCTCCCGCCTGTGATTTTTAGCGGGTCTCCGCCTTCGCCGTGACGGCCAGACCCGAATTCCCACGGGGCAAATTCTTCCCGATCAGAGGAATTCCGCCATTACTGATGGCACCAACCTGGAAGTCCCCCTCCTCTCCTCCCTCTGAGCCTGAACTGCTCTCTGCCCCAGACTCTTCCCGCTCACCTAACCCAGTTTCCTCCTCAGCTTGCAACATCTCCCCTTCCGGTCTGCTCCCTTTTCTCCCTCTTTCGCCTCATCCCATCACCAGTCCACTGGGCTCTGAGCCTTCTTCCCTTGTGGGTCCCCAGCTGGTGCCTCCCCCTCACCAGCCAGTCCATGACAACAACAGCAGCCACAGCACTGTGGTCCTCTGGTAGGAAAACTCCCGAGTAGCATGAGTGAATAAAAACTTCTGGGACTATGGAAAAATATTCTCTTTCCCAAACCCTAGAATAAGCAGGAGCTCCGGGGTTGCCCCATGGGGTTCATGAGTGAAGATCGGTCCCCCAGGAGACTTCCCTGGTCCCTGCAGCCCCTCCTCCCCCCTCTTGAAATTAGGCTGGGGGGGAAATCTCCCATTCAATTTCAGTATTTCAAGTTTTCTTCATGACGCGCAGGAGGCAGCGATGAAGTTCTGGTGAAGAAGCAGTGCTTGGGATCATGCGGTGGGAGAATGACAGAGTTTGGAGCAAAAACCAAAGGTACTTTCATCTAAAATTGTACTCACCATTGTGAGGTGCTGCCTTCATTATTTCATTATTATACAGTTTTACATATAAACACCAGAACTTCACATATACCTCTTGCTTTTAGGAATGATTTCCTGCTGAGTTCATTGCTCAGAGTTGACTCTGAGAGGAAGACATCCCACACTCCATAAATCTAAATGGGTTCTCCCATGTGAGAGTCCCTGGATGTTCCTTAAATAAAGGTAAAGGTAAAGGGACCCCTGACCATTAGGTCCAATCGCGGACGACTCTGGGGTTGTGGCGCTCATCTCGCTTTATTGGCTGAGGGAGCCGGCGTACAGCTTCCGGGTCATGTGGCCAGCATGACTAAGCCACTTCTGGTGAACCAGAGCAGCGCACAGAAACACCGTTTACCTTCCCGCCAGAGCGGTACCTATTTATCTATTTGCACTTCACTTGCTTTCAAACTGCTAGGTTGGCAGGAGCTGGGATCGAGCAACGGGAGCTTCTCCTCTCTGAGTTCTGCTTCTCCTCTCTGAGTTTGCTGATGGTTTGAAGGGCTTCAACTCTTAAAGTTCTTCCTGACCATGAGTATGTTGATTTTGAACTTCCACTAAGAGTGAACCTCTATCTACTTTCCTGATATTTATATGGTTTGTCTTTTGTGTGAGTTTGTTGACATAAATCAAGGGTTCCACTCTGACTGAAGCTCCTTCCACAGTCCAGGTATTTACATGGTTTCTCCCCTGTGTGTCTGCTGATGTTTTCTAAGATTTCCATTCTGACTGAAGTCCTTGCCACACTCCATACATTTAAATGGTTTCTCCCCGGTGTGAGTCCGTAGATGTTGTCTAAGGCTTCCACTATTACTAAAGCTGTTTCCACACTCGATACATTTAAATGGTTTCTCCCCTGTGTGAGTCCGTTGATGGTTTCTAAGGTCTCCACTCTGATTGAAGCTCTTTCCACACTCCATGCATTTAAATGGTTTCTCCCCTGTGTGAGTCCGTTGATGTGTTCTAAGATATCCTCTGCTACTAAAGCTCTTTCCACACTCTATACATTTATATGGTTTCTCCCCTGTGTGAGTCCGTTGATGTAGTCTAAGGCTTACATTCTTACTAAAGCTCTTTCCACACTCAATACATTTAAATGGTTTCTCCCCTTTGTGAGCCCGTTGATGTAGTCTAAGGCTTCCACTATCACTAAAGCTCTTTCCACACTCGATACATTTAAATGGTTTCTCCCCTGTGTGAGTCCGTTGATGTGTTCTAAGATATCCTCTGTCCCTAAAGCTCTTTCCACACACGATACACTTATATGGTTTCTCCCCTGTGTGAGTCCGTTGATGATTTCTAAGGTTTCCACTCTGATTGAAGCTCTTTCCACACTCCATGCATTTAAATGGTTTCTCCCCCGTGTGAGTCCGTTGATGTTGTCTAAGGCTTCCACTATTACTAAAGCTGTTTCCACACTCAATACATTTATATGGTTTCTCCCCCGTGTGAGTCCGTTGATGTTGTCTAAGGCTTCCATTATTACTAAAGCTGTTTCCACATTCGATACATTTATATGGTTTATCCCCTGTGTGAGTCCGTTGGTGTTGTCTAAGGCTTCCACTAACACTAAAGCTCTTTCCACACTCCTTACATTTATATGGTTTCTCCCCTGTGTGAGTCCGTTGATGGTTCCTAAGGTTTCCACTCTGACTGAAGTCCTTTCCACACTCCATGCATTTAAATGGTTTCTCCCCTGTGTGAGTCCGTTGATGTTTCCTAAGGCTTCCATTATCACTAAAGCTCTTTCCACACTCAATACATTTAAATGGTTTCTCCCCTGTGTGAGTCCGTTGATGGTTCCTAAGGCTTCCATTATCACTAAAGCTCTTTCCACACTCGATACATTTAAATGGTTTCTCCCCGGTGTGAGTCCGTTCATGTGTTCTAAGATTTCCATTATTACTAAAACTCTTTCCACACTCGATACATTTAAATGGTTTCTCCCCGGTGCGAGTCCGTTTGTGCATTTTAAGGTTTCCACTCTGACTGAAGTTCTTCCCACACTCCCTGCACTTAAAACGTTTTCTCTCTGTGTGAGTCCGCAGGTGTGTTCTAAGTTTTGCATTGAAACAGAAGCTCTTTCCGCACTCCATACCTTTAAATGGGTTATTTCCTTTTTGGGTTCGTTGATGTGAACTATGTGTGCTCATTCAGTGAAGCATATTCCACATTTCACACATTTTAATGGCTATTCCTAATGAAACGAAAGGTGCCCTGTCCCCTGCAATTCTGTCTTCTCCATCACCTTTTTCAGAGTGGGCAGAAAGGAAATCCTGTTTGGGTTTCAGGAAAGAGAACACAGAAAAAAAAGGACACATCAACCTCCATTAGCACCTTCTCGTATTTCAACATCTCCTACATTCTCCCATGTCCTACCCATGTTCCCAATTTTTAGGAAATGAAAGTGGTATGATGTCAAATGGTAGTAATGCATCAGCAACCTTTCATAATCCTCAATCATCTTTAATAACACAGAATGATCTTAGTATACCGTTGTCCTCTGAGACTGTTCTTTCTTTTTTCTTCTCTTTCTTTTTTAAACTTTTATTTTGCTTTAAACAGGTACATGTAAACAGGTACTTAGAAATATAGACAACCAAAATTACAAAGGAAAATTCCTTAATAGTAATGAGAAAAAATGAAAAAAGACTACAAAAAATGTTGAGGTACATGACACAGAACATAAGCAACTATGGGAAAGATAAAAGAAAAAAGAAAAAGAAAAAAAGAAAAAGAGAAAAAGAAAAATGAGCCAAAGCAGGAAAGCTCATCAATTGTACACTTCTGTCAAGCTCACAACAGATCATTATTCCTATCAATTCTCTCTATCTGCATTCCAATCCCTCATCTTGGTATCAGGGAGCATTTCTCTATGCGGTATCATTCTAAACATAGCCAGGTCTTTCTTGTTGAGCCCTTGTCCCCTACATAATTATTTAAATATTCCCATTCTTCTTTCACCATTTTTAAAGGTTTATCTCTTATTGCATCTGTCGGCTTTGCGAGCTCCAAGTACTCGCACAATTTGACTACCCATTCCTCTTTAGTGGGTATATTTTTATCTTTCCAGTGTTTTGCCACTACAACCCTTGCTGCTGACGTTGCGTACATAAATAGCCTAGTTTTGTTTTTGGGAATATTATCTGAAACCATTCCTAGTAAAAATTATATGGAGAGACGACCAATGGGTGACGCAAGCAAAAATCAAGTTAGCGGAATTTTTCGAGATAAATGGGAAACAAAATGCAGACATAAATGTAGTTTAGTAAAGCGTACATGAGGAGTCTTGGAATACAACAAATGGCTAGGCTGAAGAAGATAAAAGACAATAATATCCAAGAGCTAACTAAACAGATAAGAATTAATGAAAAAGAGTTGATCAAAAATCCAAAAAGTCATGAAATATTACAAAAAAATAAAGATATTGCAATCCCATATCTCTAGTATATTGAATAAGGAAGTAGAAAATTAAATTAAATGGGGAGAACAAAGGTATTTTGAGTCCGCCAATAAGCCCGGTAAGTTGTTAGCATGCATGATAAAGAAAAAGCGAACAAAAAAAGTTATAAATAAAATTTTGGACCAAGGAGAGGAAATAACAGACCCAGTAAAAATAAAAATAAAATTCTTAAACTTTTATAAAGATTTGTATAAACAAGAACATTTAGAGGTTAATAAAATGGAAGAGTATTTACAACAAAATAAATTACCAAGAATTGAAAAAGAAGAAGTTGAGGCCCTAAACTCCAATATAGAAATAGATGAAATGGCACAAGTAATAAAAAAAAAATGAAGAGTTGCAAATCGCCAGGTCTTGACGGAATCACATTAATGTACTATAAGAACCTGGAAGAAGTAATCCTCCCTATATTACAAAGAATAATGAATAATATACTGGGAGGGAAAGATATACCACAATCATGGAAAGAAGCACTGATCACTCTAATCCCAAAACAGGGAGTGGAGTTGACAGACATGAAAAATTATAGACCAATCTCCCTGTTGAATACAGACTATAAAATCTATGCTGGGGTGATGGCTAATAGATTAAAAAAGACTCTAAACAAAATAATCAGCAGAGACCAGGCGGGCTTCTTACCGGATAGACATATAAAAGACAATACAAGAATAATAATTGATCTGTTGGAATATGTGGAAATGAAACCAAGTAAAAAGATGGCCATGTTATTGGTTGATGCAGAAAAAGCTTTTGATAGAGTATCATGGAATTTCCTATTGGAAACTTTCAAAGGTCTGGAGAAAATAATTAATGGAATTAGGGCGATATATGATAACCAAAAAGCAAAATTGCTAATAAATAACGAGATCACCGAAGAGTTCAGCATCGAAAGGGGGCCACGACAGGGGTGCCCTCTCTCCCCACTTCTTTTTATTGCCACCTTGGAACCACTTTTAATAGCAATAAGAAAGGATAAAAATATAAGAGGAATTAACCTAGGAACTCGATACTACAAAATTAAAGCCTTTGCCGATGATGTAATCGTAACCACTGAAAATCCAGTGGAAAGTATCCAAAAAACGCTTGCACAACTGGAAGAATTTGGGAAAGTCTCTGGGTTCAAACTGAATAAAGGAAAATCCAAATTATTAACGAAAAATTTACGTAAGTTGGAACAAGAGGAACTGGAAAATACAACAGGTTTAAAGGTAGCCAATAAGGTAAATTATTTGGGGTTTGGATCACCAATAAGAATATAAACATATATAAGGACAATTATGAGAAGAAGTGGAAGGAAATAAAAAAAGAATTAGAAACTTGGGGAAAATTGCATTTATCCCGGTGGGGGAGAATATCCACAGTTAAAATGATGGTATTGCCAAAGATGATTTTTATGTTCCAAACAATACCTATAATTAGAGGCGTAAAGTGTTTTAAGGATTGGCAGAAAGACCTTGCCAAGTTTATTTGGCAAGGGGAAAAACCACGCATAAAATTTAAGCTACTAACAGAGTTGAAGGAAAAAGGAGGCTTCACGGTCCCTGACCTTAAACTGTACTTTGAGGCAGTGTGTTGGACATGGATTAAGGACTGGATATTAATTAAAAACACGGAAGTCCTAGATCTGGAGGGGTGGGATATTGTGTACGGGTGGCATGGCTACATAGGCTATGACAAGGTTAAATCCCGCAAAGGATTTTTAAATCACATTGTGAGAAGGGCATTATATGAAGTATGGGAGAGGAGTAAAAAATCAGTAGTAACCAAAACACCATGGTGGCTGTCACCAATGGAATCTATGTCAGTTCACAGGATGAATATGAACAGCGATTGGCTAACATATAAGGATTTAGTAGAGGAAACAAGTAGTGATCCGAAAATAAAGGGCCTAAGTGAATTGAAACAGAAGGGAATAACCTGGCTGGAGTATTATCAATTAAAAGCCGCCCTTGAAAAGGATAAAAGAACCAAAGGATTTGACAAAAAAATATCCTATCTGGAGAAGGATATTTTATATAATAATCAAAAGACACTTTCTAAAATGTACAAACTACTTTTGAATTGGCAAAGAAAGGAGGAAGATATCAAAGAAATTACAGTAAAATGGGAGAGGGACCTGGGACATACGATCAAACCCAATATTTGGAACGAATTATGGACTAAAAATATAAAATTCACGGCTTGTTTCCTTAAAGGGAAAATCTTATGAAAATGTACTATAGGTGGTACCTGACCCCTGTAAAACTTGCAAAAATAAATAAATCAAATAATAACAAGTGCTGGCGATGTAAGGAACAGATAGGAACATACTACCATATGTGGTGGTCCTGTCTAGAGATACAAAGATTTTGGAACATGATTTATGAAGAGATAAAGAGATTGATAAAAACTACATTTAGCAAGAAACCGGAAGAATTTTTACTCTGAGACTGCCTTTCAAATCAAGTGGTTGCCCCCGTTTCCACCTCTAGATCTTCATGAATCACCTGCACAGTTCCACTGACCTCAGGAGGTCCATGTGGACCATTATGTGAGACCCAGGTCTACATCCTTTCCAGGGACTGTGGTCTGGGTCAGTCAGAGAACTAGTGACAAGGCTTGGTGCTTGGGGTCAGCTGAATGGGTGCTCAGGGAAGCTCCTGTTCTTGGAGATGGACCTCTGTCTACATGCCTTGCATTGCATGGAGAGAGCAGGAGAAGCAGAAGGAAAGCAGCTGGCAAATGGGAATCCCAGGAGGAAACACCCACCCCAATGGTTCTTTATAATGATGACGTGCTGCCTGATCTCGAGCCCGTCTTCTGACTATCCTAAAGTGACACTGAAAAGCAGGACATAACTGTACTTAATTGTAGATAGCCGTGT